AGGTGCCGCAAACAATACTTTTGAGTGGCATATGAAACTAATCCCCTCCTGAGATTTCCTGAAATGGCCACATATAATTTTTTTGGGATCAGCAACAATGTAGATAATTGAAAGGCAAATTTTAGATTTAGCGAGAAGTGAAGTGCTGAATGGATAATATGAGACACCTGGAGATTATGTTCTGAATGTTCCAAATGTTTACGGATAAGCAAATAACAAGAAAAGAAAATTACCTGTAAGCAGAGCTGTTCCTTCATAATTCCATCGGCCAGCAATTACTGCACCTGAATGAGCCTCCACGGTTTTTTCCACCCTCCCAAACTTGGAAATTAAATGGAATTTGCCTAAAATTAGAATTATTAAATGTGATCAGGAAACAATGATATACCATCAAATAGTTTTTTAGGATTTACCCATATCAGAAATTGATTCTTTATTTAGACAAATCTGTCTATTTTCAATATATGTGTAAAATAATGTTTTCTATTTAAAGGGACACTCCAGTGCCAGGAAAACAATCCGTTTTTCTGGCACTGCAGGTCCCCTCTCCCTCCCATGGGGGATCCCATGTTGCTGAAGGTGTTAAAACCCCCTCAGTGACTTACCTGTATCCAGCGCCAATGCCCCTCGGCGCTGGTTCAGGGTCCGCCCACGCTCCTCCCCCGCCGACGTCATCTAGTGGGGGAGACCTATTGCGCATGCGCGGCCAGGCGGCGGGGGAGACGCGCATTAGACCTCCCCATAGGAAAGCATTGAAAAATCCTATGGGGATTTTAGCGACGCTGTGCTATAAACGTGCTATAAACCAGGAAGTTCCCTCTAGTGGCTGTCTAGAAGACTCTAGAAGACAGCCACTAGAGGAGGAGTTAACCATGCAAAGTAAATATTGCAGTTTATGAAAAACTGCAATATTTACAGTTGCATGGTTAAGGGTAGTGGGAGTTGGCACCCAGACCACTCCAATGGGCAGAAGTGGTCTGGGTGCTTGCAGTGTCCCTTTAACAGTCCTTTGCTACTTTATAGTGTACACAAACAGGATTATTCAATAATCCATGAATTTTGCAGGACTGACCAGTGGATTTTAAATTGCAAAAAAACAATAAAGAATAAAGTATTTGGGGTTTATGAAGGCCATTAAAAAAAAAGTATTTTTTAAGCAAGGATTCATTTATACAAACCCTAAATATAGGAGTGAACAACTTACCAAATAGTTAATTACAAAAACTACTGTACAACTCACCATCAGAACTAGTCAGCACAAACATTTCAGACTGTGATTGCTTCTTGTTGCCATTATTTTTGGGGAACCAGTGAAGGTTAATTGGGTATGTGTCATCTTGGAGTTTTACAACCAAGGTTGTCTCGCTATTTAATAAATTCCATTTCAGAATCTGGTGGTCATCACTGCAGGAATACAGCTCATCAGCAGAGGTCCAGCCCACACAGCTAACCAGTTCCTGATGTGCAGAGGAATTAAGGAATATAACAAGTGGGTCCAGTGTAAAAAATAAATAAATAATAATAAAAAAAAAAACAAAGCAAAAAAAAACAAAAAAAAAACACAAAATATTGTTAAATATCTCATGATTAATCTTTTTAGAATTCAAAGTTAAATGAAAGAATTTTGCAGTAGTATACATAGGAAGTAGTAAATAAACGTTAATGTACAAAACCACTGCTAAAGAAAACATCAAAAGACATAGAAAAGGAACAAAGATAAAATTATATAGAAAAATGCAATGAAAGAGAAATGAAAGTAGGACAAGGATGGGCAGGGCCAAGGAATATTTTTATATTTAGATTTTATTTAACAGGCTTTTCTCCCTTTGATATAAAATATTCAGAAGCACTAAGGGGGGGAGTTTAGAAATACTGCACATGCATACATGAGTTTAAAAGCGTGACCATTTTTTTTGTCTGTCTCTCAGATGGGCCACCCATAAAGTTTTAGGCCAAAACTATAGGGCTCAATCAGCTTTTAATCCAGGTCCGATAGAATAGAAAAGGTTTCTCTCTGTAACATTGATTTCTCTACTTATGTGTGGAGGGATGAGTGATGGGTGTTTTCCTGCAATAAGTTGAGTGATACAAAAGGAACAGAAAAGTAAAACAGCTGTTAAAAAGTAATTTCGGGTATGGGAGGGGGGGATTTTTTACCCATTGGGGGTATAGAACGCAGCCCCAGATGTTTCTCAATGGCTTTCTTTAAATGCATATTCTCTGTATTGTGAAAAGTTAATTTTGATTGAGCACACGCTAACAAGGTCCTGACCTAGGTTTTCTCTGGGGGCCAGGTCCTCACTGATGCACCAGCTGTATCGCTGCACACACAAGTTTTGCCGTTTGGAATAAGATCACTCCTATTCTGCTTGTTTGATAAGGTTACCAGACTAAAATCCCTGTTTTCATGGGACAATTTCTGTAACCGAGCCTTTGTGCTTGGGTTCTATTTCTACTAGAAATGCTTCCTAAACCTTTTAAAGCCAACAGTGAAAAATATACTATTTCTTTAAAAGCTATATAAAAGGACTAGACTTATTTACTATAAATACCTGCAAAAGGATACATTTTTTACTAAAGTATCAGTTATTCTGAAATTAACATTACAAACGAAGGAATCATGAGATATGGATGGATGGATAGATAGAGTATCATAGCAAAACCAAAGCAAGGCCAATATAAATTTATTTCTATAGCTTAGTCATATGCAGCTGCCAAAAGGATATTTCATAGGAGGATTAATATATATAATTAAATAAAAAATACTGTGAAACAGGGGTTATTGGTTCAGCTAATAATTAGAGCCATATTTCTGATAATCGGTAATTTACCGATAACTGACTCACTTCTCTCTGTCAACACGCACCTTCTTCACCATCCGGAAACTCTAGTCACCAGCCAATGAGAGGTCACGTCACAACCTCAAGTTACTCCTCCCTTTGAGGTGAGACAGTGAATAATCTACCCTTATGTACTGGGCTGGCAGAGACTGATAAGCGTATGCATGCCGACAACATTTTCGGTTAATGCCAGATTTGTGAAGAAATGGTGTTGCTTTTTCAAAACTTTAAATGTACAGAATCTCTGCACCGGTTATAGGCAAAAGGCAACCAATAATTTGTATCTGCACCAGCCCTGGAAAATTATATCTGTCAATCCCTACTTACAAATAAGGAGGAGGTTAAGTTAGTTATTAAATGTTTCAATTGCTTAGCACAAGATACTATATATATTGCCAGCAATTTTTGGTGCCGCACAGGCTCTATATTGAGTACTATATGCTGTAGTGAGTCTTCAGCTTAAGAACTAGAATTCTTATCGATACCACTTTACCTCTCTTCTATAAATTTTGTCAGATCTCAATTACACCTTGAGTACTGATCATGCGAGGCAGTGTACTGCAAGCTTTCTAGCTGGTACACTAATCTCATACTTTCAATATTTGGCGGACCACACAGATTAACAATTTGAAATTGATGATGTGGAGTATACTGTTGTATAAAACTTTTTTATGCACTGTTGATACACCGTTGCCTGATATGATTTGACTCTCATGTAACAGATCTTTAGTTACATTATACAGTCTTACGCTATTGTCGCGATACATTGTTGCATCGGGTATCACTGTGCAACGGTTTTTCCTTTTTAGGGAATTCCTATTTAGGTGTGTAGGTGTTTTTACCTTTCCCTTCCCCCCTTCTTTTGTTTTGGATAATAAAGCATAAAACTTTTTAACTGCTTTTTTTGTATTTTCAGACATTTTTTGTATCTATATTGTGTAGGACTGTTTCATAGATACAGAAGAATTATAAGATCATGGGTATGTACCCGTACAATCTACCCCAAGAAAAGAGGAAGGATAATGTCGGGTCACAACCCAAGATCCTATATACCGCAAAGAGACTCCATGGATCTCAAAGGGGCTTAACCCCAGTGTACAACAGATACAACAAACAAAAGGAAAGATGCCACTAGTCTCAGTGCATAAACAGCCTGACAAAGGTGCATCTCCTGAGGCACCGAAACGCGCGTCGGGCGTTTTTCTCATATTATATGAGCACTAGTGTTTAGAGCACCATGATTTGCACTAGATTTATGGGATTTTCGATTTTTTTCTGATTTTGTACTTCACCTATCTAAATTCTGCCTTTATGCCTATCTAGTTAGTTTACCAGGGAGAGAGGCTCTTTAATTGTCATATACTGATGTTCTAATTATATACTAAACTCCATCTCTCTCTGTGTTCTACTATGAACTTTTTCCTGTTTGTAATTGATTTTATTTTATGATTATTAATTACTGATGGATTGGGTCTGTGCTTAAATCCATATTGTACTCTGCTGTAGACAGAGGGGATTTTATCTCATATATAAGCGCAGTACCTACCCCGCTGATAATACAGGAATAGGTAGACACTACTCAGAGACAGCCTTGTATTAGGGTATTATAACTAAGATTGACCCATCCCTATTTAGCATTTCTTCAAAATAAAGCTGTAATTTAGTTTTGGGTGTATACAACCACCAAAGAATCTTGTATGATATCCCTACTTGATTTATTGCTCTGGTTGGCATATTAGCATTAGTACCACTTGTATAAATATATTTTTTGTCTACTTACCATCTACTATATCTGGTCTCCATTATATATGTTTTAAGTCAGTTTACCATACTACTATATAGCTAAACATATTGCTTTAAGCCAGTTTATTACAACTACTACATAGTTAAACATATTGCTTTAACCCCTTAAGGACACATGACATGTGTGACATGTCATGATTCCCTTTTATTCCAGAAGTTTGGTCCTTAAGGGGTTAAGCTAGTTTATCACAACTACTACATAGCTACACATATTTCCAGGTGATGCAGCTGTTCACAGGGCTGTTTATGCATCCTTCCTTTTGTTTGTTGTATCTGTTTCATAGATACCCCTGTCTTGCTAGATGAGGATGTGTACATTAAGCTGATAAACTAATGCTGTAAATGGTTTAGGTCCCTGAGCATCTGTGACATTTGTCCTTTAACGGATCTCATTGGATTATTTTTTTTCTAAAATTGATTAGTTTGGACACTATGTTTGGCAGAGTATCTAACTAAAGTTTCATATTCCTACGTAAATTTGTTTTTCACCAATTAAAGGATATGTTTTGCTTCTTTTAGTAACGATAACTTCAGCCTCATTTTTCTGACTGCTCCAATTCAAAATTGAGGGAACCAACCTTTTCAGAACAGGGAATACAGGGAATACAAATAATCACCTAGAAAGACAAGACAGAAAAGAAATTACGAATACAAACTTCTACAGACATTAAAAGCAGAAAGTCTGCTGTCATTCTTATACCCAATGAATAAACCATCAAAAGTTTAAAAGGGACATTATAGCTTAATGTAGCCTGTCCCTGCAGGTTTTCCAATGTAAACACTGCCATTTCAGACAACTAGAAGTGCTTCCTATCTCAGTGCTGCACAGTGTGGCATTTTTAAAGGACCACTATAGTGCCAGGAAAACATACTCGTTTTACTGGCACTATAGTGCCCTGAGGGTGCCCCCACCCTCAGGGACCCCCTCCCGCCCGGCTCTGGAAGGGGGAAAGGGGGAAAAAAAAACGCACCTTTTTCCAGCGTAGGAGCTCCTCCTCCTTCCGCTGCCTGCCGCTGAATCTCACAAGAGCTCAGTTCAGCATAGGAAAGCATTTACATAATGCTTTCCTATGGACGCTGGCGTGCTCTCACTGTGAAAATCACAGTGAGAAGCACGCAAGCGCCTCTAGTGGCTGTCAATGAGACAGCCACTAGAGGATTAGGGGGAAGGCTTAACCCATTCATAAACATAGCAGTTTCTCTGAAACTGCTATGTTTATGAAAAAATGGGTTAACCCTAGCTGGACCTGGCACCCAGACCACTTCATTAAGCTGAAGTGGTCTGGGTGCCTAGAGTGGTCCTTTAAAACACACAGCATTGCCTCATCACCACCCCCTTCCTATTAACCTCACTGCTTCAAACTTTGCAGCAATCTTCTGTGTGCCCAAGCCGCAATCAGGAAAGAGCTCTCAACACTTTCTCCTTCCCCCATTCACACTCTCCCTGTCCCATCGCCTCCTCAAACCTAAGCTTACTGATAACCATTACACAGGAAATGTTTCTAATTTGCTTCTGTCCTCATGCTCCATCACCTATTCCTTGATTGAATTTTATTTAAACATTTGCCTTTCTGTTGCTCTCCCTCTCCTCTGGTGTCTTTCCTGCACCATTTTAGCATGCAACTTAACTCCAGTCCTTAAGGGTTACTGCCAAAGAACACCCCAATATGTGTTCAGCAACATCTCCTGAGTAAAGTGATACCCCCCCCATGTACAGATGTGTCAGGTTCTCTGGGGGCTTAAAGACCTTATTTGGAGGGTGCGCATTCCAGTTTTCCAACTTGGAATTTTCACAGCTGGTCATCATGCACCCATGTCCTGTTTGGGACATTTTTGAAGCCGGCCAATGTAATTTACCCCCATCAAACCATATATTTTTGAAAGGTAGACACACTAGAGTATTTGAAATGGTGGTATTTTAGCACTTTTCATGCACTAATTTTACCACCAGTCTTTGTCAAACTTTTGGGTAGTCGTTTTTTTGTGTTCTTTTTCTCTCACATTTTACTTTAGGCATGGATTCTCAGTTCCTCTTATGTGTTACTGACAAAGAACACCCCAATATGTGTTTAGCAGCATCTTCCGAGTACAACCCCCAATGTACAGGTTTTATGGGTTTTTGCTAAATTACAGGGGTCAAATGTAGGACCTTCCCCTTTTCCATGTTTGCACATTGAAATTTGCCAGATTGGTTTGCTGGGCCTATGTTGCCTTTGAGACCGTATAGCATTGTTGCCTTTGGACCGTTTTTTTTGCAGTGCTATTTGCCAGATTGGCTATGTTGCCTTGGAGATGGTATGGCAGCCCAGAAATGAAAATTAACCAGACCATGACATACCATTCGCAAAAGTAGACAACCCAGGGTATTCAAAATGGGATATGTCCAGTCTTTTGTAGTAGCCACTTAGTCACAAACGTTCCCCCCCCCCCCAATATATATATATATATATATATATATACACATACACACACACACACACATACATACATACATACATACATACACACACACACATACATATAGTATTCAAGTAGAGATTGTAGCCGTATTAGTCCAGTGATGTAGATGTAAAAATCAGATAAAATCCGTATCTTGTAATACCTTTTTTATTGTACTAACAGAATTTTTTAATGACAAACTTTCGGGAGAACCTCCCTTTCTCAAGTCTGAAGCATTTCAAGACAAGATACGAATTATATATATATTTTTTATTATTATTCTTTTTTTTTTTTTTTTTTTTAGCAGCCTGGGGGACTGCCTGACAGCTCAGCCAGTCCCCCCTGCTGGCAGCTCCTAAAGTTCTATTGCGTCAAAGTGATCATGGTAATCATGGTAATCATATGGCCTTGGAGGGCCGGGGTGGCCAGAGCTGCTGCAGGGGGACTGCTTGGGGTCTCCAGCAGTCGTCCCCCCGACCGTGATTATCTTGGATCGCCGGTCCAGGTAAGTCCAGTCCTATCAGACGTACTAGGTTCTTAACAACCGTTTTTTGTTGGACGTACATAGTACGTCCACGGTCGTTAAGGGGATATACATAGAGATAATATATATATATATATTTTCATTCTAAGCGTATATTGATATTTAGAAATATATATATTAATATCAAAATACAGTTAGAATAAAATTATATATAAAATATTTTTGAAAAATAATTTTTACAGTTTTTTATTTATTTTTAATTAATTATTTTATTTTTATAATTACCGTATTTTTCGTTCCATGAGACGCACCACACCAAAAGACGCACCTAGTTTTTAGAGGAGGAAACCCAGAAAAAAAAAATATTCTCAACAAACTGTCCCATAGTGTTTCTTAACACCCCCCCTCCCCTGTCCCATAGTGTTCTTTACCACCCACTCCCCTATCCTGTCCCATAATGATCTTTAACCCCCCTCCCCTGTCCTATAGTGTTCTTTAACCCCCCTTGTCCCATAGTGTTCCTCCCCCCCCTTGTCCCATAGTGATCTTTCCCTCCCATAGTGTCCCCCCTCCCCTTGTCCCATAATGTTCCTTAGTTACTTACCTATATTGTAGCGTGGGCCAGCAGAACAGCGCGCACCGCGGTACAGGAACTTAAATTTCAGTTTCCGGCCGGACTGAAAGGACGTGTGCACTGTTCTGCCTGCCCACGCCACAATACACGTAAGTAAACCTTCACATTCGCTCTATAAGACGCACAGACATTTCCCCTTACTTTTGAGGGGGAAAAAAGTGCATCTTATAGAGCGAAAAATATGGTGTGTGTACATATATATATATATATATATATATATATATATATATATTCCTTAAGGACCGTTTTTTGGCGGACGTACCTCATACTTCCGCGGTCCTTAAGGGGTTTAGTGAACCACTAGAACCACCATGTAGGTTTCCCTACACTACTATCAACCCTTGGCACTCTCTTCGATTCCAACCTCTCATTCATTTGTAACATCCAGTCAATCACAAAATACGGTCACTTACGGTCATTATATCCTACAATGAATACTGCAGCTAGACTCACCTTATAGTTCTCCCACACCTGCCCCCTTCTAACGTGTATAACATATCACACACACTCTTAACTATATATATATATATATATTCACCCCCCCCTTGACTTTTTACCTATTTTGTTACATTACAGCCTTAAGTTCAATGTTTTATTAATCTGAATTTTATGTGATGGATCAGAACACAATAGTAGAAGTTGGTGAAGTGAAATGAGAAAAATATAAACATAAAACTATTTTTTAGGAATAGAAAACAGAAAATTGGCATGTGTGTATGTATTCACCCCTTTGTTATGAAGCCCATAAAAAGCTCTGGTACAAACAATTACCTTCAGAAGTCACACAATTAGTGAAATGATGTCCACCTGTGTGCAATCTAAGTGTCACATGATCTGTCATTACCTATACAAACCTTTTTTGAAAGGCCCCAGAGGCTGCAACACCTAAGCACCACTAACCAAACACTGCCATGAAGACCAAGGAACTCTCCAAACAAGGAAGGGACAATTTTGTTGAGAAGTACAGGGTTAGGTTATTTAAAAAATATCCAAATCTTTGATGATCCCCAGGAGCACCATCAAATCTATCATAACCAAATGGAAAGAGCATGGCACAACAGCAAACCTGCCAAGAAACAGCTGCCCACCAAAACTCACAGATCGGGCAAGGAGGGCATTAATCAGAGAGGCAGCACAGAGACCTTAGGTAACCCTGGAGGAGCTGCAGAGTTCCACAGCAGAGACTGGAGTATCTGTACATAGGACAACAATAAGCTGTACGCTCCATAGAGTTGGGCTTTATGGCAGAATGGCCAGAAGAAAGACATTACTTTCAGCAAAAAACAAACTGGCATGTTTTGAGTTTAAGAAAAGGCATGTGGGAGACTCCCAAAATGTATGGAGGAAGGTGCTCTGGTCTGATGAGACTAAAATTGAGCTTTTCGGCCAAAGAAAACGCTATGTCTGGCGCAAACCCACATCACCCAAACACATCACCCAAAGAACATCATCCCCACAGTGAAACATGATGGTGGCAGCATCATGCTGTGGGGATGTTTTTCAGCAGCCGGGACTGGGAAACAGGTCAGAGTTGAGGGAAAGATGGATGGTGCTAAATACAGGGATATTCTTGAGCAAAACCTGTACCACTCTGTGCGTGATTTGAGGCTAGGACTGAGGTTCACCTTCCAGCAGGACAATGACGCCAAACATACTGCTAAAGCAACACTTGAGTGGTTTAAGGGGAAACATGTGAATGTGTTGGAATGGCCTAGTCAAATCTTAGACCTCAATCCAATAGAAAATCTGTGGTCAGACTTAAAGATTGCTATTCACAAGCACATACCATCCAACTTGAAGGAGCTGGAGCAGTTTTGCAAGGAGGAATGGGCAAAAATCCCAGTGGTAAGATGTGGCAAGCTCAGCTGTGATTTCCACAAAAGTTGGCTCTACAAAGTATTGACTTTAGGGGGGTGAATAGTTATGCACATTGACGTTTTCTGTTATTTTGTCCTATTTGTTGTTTGCTTCACAATAAAAAAAAAAAAAAAATCCTCAAAGTTGTGGACATGTTCTGTAAATTAGATGACGCAAATCCTCAAACAATCCATTCCAGATGAGGCAACAAAACACAAAAAATGCCAAGGGGGTGAATACTTTTGCAAGGCACTGTATGTATGTATATATACCTTAAAGTTTATAGTCCTTTACTACAGTGTACCCTCCATGGTGGAATAAGATAGATATCTTTCTATAAATAAACACACATTTTAACCAAAAAAAAAACAAAACAAAAAAAAAAAAACACCCACACAATTTGCTATATCCATATGAAACATTGACCAATAAATAATTTGCAGTATTTGGATACAAAGTCCATGGAGTGCTGTTTTTTGGTAAAGTGGGTTGTCTGCCAGTTGTTGCACAGGGCACTAGCACTGTTAAGTCCTTGCGTGCAAGTTTGTTGGGTGTGTGTGTGTATATATATATATATATATATATATATATATATATATATATATATATATATATATATATATATATATATATATATATATATATACACACACATACATACATACATACACACACAGTTCCAAATTATTATGCAAATTCTATTTAAGTGTCACAAAGATTAAATATTTTGTTTTCAGTTTAACTCATGGATAGCATTGTATCTCAGGGCTCTTTTGATCACTGAAAACTATCTCGGACACCTGTGATAACTAGATTGCCAGGTGAGCCCAATTTAAGGAAAAACTACTAAAGGAGGGTGTTCCACATTATTAAGCAGAGCACCATTTTCATGCAATATGGGGAAGAAAAGGGATCTCTCTGCTACCGAAAAGAGTGAAATAGTTCAATGCCTTGGACGGGGTATGAAAACATTAGATATTTCATGAAAACTTAAGCGTGATCATCGCACTATTAAGAGATTTGTGGCTGATTCAGAGCAGACGGATTCGTGCAGATAAAGGCACATTGAGGAAGATTTCTGCAAAATCCATTCATCGGATCAAGAGAGCAGCTGCTAAAATACCATTACATAGCAGCAAACAGATATTTGAAGCTGCTGGTGCCTCTGGAGTCCCACGGACATCAAGGTGTAGAGTCCTCCAGAGTCTTGCAACTGTGCATAAACCTTCTATACGGCCACCACTAATCAATGCTCACAAGCAGAAATGGTTGCATCGGGCAGAAAAATACATGAAGACTAATTTTTAAACAGTCCTGTTCACTGATGAGTGCCGTGCAACCCTGGATGGTCCAGATGGATGGAGTAGTGGATGGTTGGTGGACGGCCACCCTGTTCCAACAAGGCTGCAACGTCAGCAAGGCGGTGGTGGAGTCATGTTTTGGGCCAGAATCATGGGAAGAGAGCTGGTCGGCCCCTTTAGGGTCCCCGAAGATGTAAAGATGACCTCTGCAAAGTATGTGGAGTTTCTGACTGACCACTTTCTTCCCTGGTACAAAAGGAAGAACTATGCTTTCGGTAATAAAATCATCTTCATGTATGACAATGCATCATCTCATGCTGCAAAGAATACCTCTGCATCAATGGCTGCTATGGGGATAAAAGGAGAGAAAGTCATGGTGTTGCCTCCATCCTCCCCTGACCTCAATCCTATTGAGAACCTTTGGAGCATCCTCAAGCAAAAGATCTATGAGGGTGGGGGGCAGTTTACATCCAAACAGCAGCTCTGGGAGGCTATTCTGACATCTTGCAAACAAATTCAAGCAGAAACTGTCCAAAAACTCACATGTTCAATGGATGCAAGACTTGTGAAGCTGCTATCAAATAAGGGGTCCTATGTTAAAATGTAACGTGGCCTGTTAAAATGTTTAAAAAGTTAAAATGTTGTTATAAGTTTGACTGAAATCCAAATGACAATTTTCAGTTCTTTACAACCTATAAAGTTTTTTTAAACTTACTGTGCATAATAATTTGGAACAGTGCATTGTAAGTTTTTTATGCTTAAAAAAAAAAATACTGTTATCATTAGGAGGTTTGTTCAATAAAATTTGAATTGTACTCTTGATAGAATTATGCTGACTGTTATTTACATCAATTATTTAGGTAAATGAGAAAAATATAATTTGCATAATAATTTGGAACAGGGTGTATATATCTCCGAAACAAACTTTTTGCTGTGACACTGAATCTGCTTCAACAAAGGAAGTTATATTTACCTGAAATTCGTCCTGTGAGTGCGCTCTTCATATATATTATATATATATATATATATATATATATATATATATATATATATATATATATATATATATATATATATATATATATATATATATATATATAATATTACCAAAAAAAGTTTACAAAAGGACATCAGTACCACTCCTGCAATTACTGGCTAATTAAATCTTTTCTTTTTTCTTTTTACAAAAAAGTGTTTATATGTAGCCTTAAAAGATTTATAGCTTTTCCCATGCAGATGTGTGCTTATACCCTTGTGTATAAATTTTAGGTCATTTTACCAGCGCTTGAATTAAAATATGCACATTTAGGTTAGTGCTTTTCTTCCCTGTATTGTTTGTATATCGAGCCTTGACCAGGCTTCTGGGTTAAGCCTCCATCTGCTGCACACAGATGCCCCATTAAGTGTCCAAAGGGAAATATAAATTAAAGAAGAAGAGTCTTGAGCCCAAATGTAAGTAATACAGTTTAGAAGATGAATCTACCCATGGATTACAGCAGAACCCGGGAAGTTAGCTGTGGCTATGATCTAGGCAGGAGATGGTCATATTGCATAACTGATTCTCTGTATTTTTCAACTGTGAAAGGTGTTCTTGTGCAGCCTTATAAGATTTTTATCATGTATAATGTAGATGTGTGCTTCTTTACAGTGTACACTAAATGGTACTAGCATAATTAACTAGAACGCAGATAAGATTAAGCATGTAAGGCTGGGGTAATTCACCAAGCTCCAAATGCACTGCTGAATTGCACAATTTGGGAAAAATCATATATTTGACACAAAACTGAAACTGGTGTATTAATTATTAATTCTCCTGGCACGCTCTGATATTTAAACACAAATATACAATGTTAGAAAAACTATTTAGTGCCTGCTAAAACACAGATATGAAAAAAAATTTGATTATTGTTGACACATATATCAAGCAGTGAATTGTGAAGATGTTTTTCGGAAGGGTATTTGCATGCTTTTACCAGGTGAACTAAAACTAACTAGTAATAAAAAAATAAAACAAATTACTTATTCAATGACTTAATAATGCTAATAATCGTTATTTCCTGTTTATCTTGATATTTGTTTTGAAAAAAATATTACAAATAAAGAATGTAAAAAAAATTTAAATCAAAAAGTATAGGTTCAGATTAATATGGGGATTTAGTTGCAAATTGAATGCAAATAGCAAAACGTATATGCAATTTAGCTGCAGCAGAAAATATGTGCTAATATAACAGAATTAACATTGTTGTTATTTGAAGAATGATTTTCACAAAACAAGATTCTATAAACAGCTGAATTAAGGCAGCTGAAGAAAAATGGGCACATCTGTATACATTAGAGAAAACATAAAAAAATCAGCGCTAAATGGACACAATAAATGAAGGCTGCACTCCTCAAAAGGGAATCCCCTGTAATTCCCTAGTGATTGGAAGAACACAAAACAAACAGTACAATAAGGATGCGCCTAAAATGTATACTGAAATATATAAAATACAATAAATAATAAAACAATGTATAAAATATGATATATAAAAAAAAAAAAAATTAAAAAAAATAGTAGACGATCGTCCAAAACTTATCAAAGTTCGTGATGAGGAGTCCCACGTAAAATAAAGGAAGCTTCTTTGAGGTGTGGAGCAAGGTCAAATCTTCATAATTGTATGCTTAGGATTCAATGGAGCATATGTGGAGAGAAGAAGAGACAGGACTCCAATGGTACAGTATGTAGATGCGTTGAAAATGAAATAATAAAATACCGTATATACTCGTGTATAAGTCGATCTCATGTATAAGTCGAGTGCAGTTTTGTGACCAACAATTGGGAAATATGCTATGCCTCGTGGATAAGTCGAGGGTAAAACTTGGGACTATGAAATTCTGTGATTTTTATAATTATATATACACACACTCATACAAACACACACTCTGCATTATATATACACACACACACACTTATACAAACACACACTCTGCATTATATACACACACACACACTCATACAAACACACACTCTGCATTATATACACACACTCTGTGTATATAATGCAGAGTGTGTGTTTGTGTAGTGTGTGTGAACCGGGTGGGGGGGAGGGCATTTTTATTATTTTAATTTTTTTTTAATATTATTTTTTTATTATTTTAAATTTTTTTTTGTCCCCCCCTCCCTGCTTGTTAACTGGTCAGGGAGGAGGGCTATCTTAATCCCTGGTGGTCCAGTGGCATGGGCTGTGAAGTGGGGGGGCTGGCAGGAAGCATTTACTTACCTTTCCTGCAGCTCCTGTCAGCTCCCTTCTCCTCCATTCCGGTCAGCTCCACTGTAAGTCTTGCAGTCTGGTTGCCGCGCGGATCGTTGCCATGGTTCTGACGGCCGCGGCTCTCTAAGTTTCCATAATACTGACAGTGACTCGAGTATAAGTCGAGTGGGGGTTTTTAAGCACAAAAAATGTGCTGAAAAACTAGACTTATACTCGAGTATATACTGTAGGTCTTACTCACAATTTTCAGAGCTGAGGATCCAGCTCTGATATTAAGCACGTGAAGTGGAATAATCCCCACTCAAGGATATATGGAGTAGATTTCAGATGACGATTCTATTCTTTTGAGCAGGTATATACTGCTCACTATAAGCGCTTAGGTGGTATAATCCCCACCTATGGATTCTTTAAGCTTCTTCTGAAAATAGGCAATATAGGTAGTCAGGTGAAAGAAAAGAAAAGAAAAGAAAAATGGCAATAAAGTGTTTAATGCCAAAAATTCTTTATTGTAACGTAATAAAATAATATCTAATATCTAGATGCGTTTCGCCACAGGGGCTTCTTCAAGTAGATAAAAGTGAAAAAAGGGGCCTTGACCTTACTCCACACCTCAAATAATCTTCCTTTATTTTACGTGGGACTCCTCATCACGAATTTTGGACGATCATCTACTATTTTTTTTTTTTTTTTATATATCATAGTTTATACATTGTTTTATTATTTATTGTATTTTATATATTTCAGTATACATTTTAGGTACATCTGTATACATGCTGGATCACTTGTGATAGATACACACACACACTCTAAGAGGGTTAAACTGCCAGTTAGAGAGGAAAGATCACATTTCCTATGTAAAACAGAATTTATTGGTAATTTACTTTGGGTACGAGAACATTAGGAAAAAAAAATCAAGAATGGGATGTTAGCTTCTATTTTGAATGAATTTGTGTTTACACATGTTGGGGATATTAGATTACTAGTTCTACAATTTTCATACTGTTGGTATATTGTATCATATAACTTATGTCATATGTATTTCATTCGTAGTGCTAGAGATTTATTCTTCTGTTATGACAGCATTTATTTTATTTTAGGTTTTCTTCCTTAAGTTAATTTGGTGAGGATGGAGTTAATGTTCATACAGTACTTTTAGGTATCTGCTATATTTTTGACCCTTCATTGTTTGTAGGAGGAGTCTGGTTTGCTAAATGTAGAAACAGTAACTGTAGTTTAGTGATTTTGTATACGATTAAATCACTATATTTTGGATGAAATATATGTGTTAGATGTGCCTGCTTGACTAAACTTTACGAAAGAAGCTCAAGGCAGCCTCAGTGGCCGTTTAGTTGCCAGGGTTAAAAAGGTAGCTTTACTTACCTTTTCACCCGCCTAGCGCTGGTCTCTGATGTGTAGCTCTGCCTCTTTGGCTGCAATCATCAGTACTAATGATTTTAGCCAATCCAATGCTTTCCCAGAGGACAGCACCAGGAGTCTACTGCGCATGCACAACAAAATGCTGCTCTGCACCAATCAGATGGCCAGAGTTACACATCAGAGACCAACGTTGGGAGGGTGAAAAGGTAAGTAAAATATATATATATATATATATATATATATATATATATATATATATATATATATATACACACACACACACACACACACACACACACACCTTTTTATAGATATATTATACAAACACACTAATCAGATGATTTAATTACTGTATTTTTCAAAAAAAAAATGTGCGCTGGGCCTAAGCCAAGATGGCGCCTGCCACATTTCAGTGTGCCACGGCCCACACACATACCTGGCCTCCCTCCTGCCAATCCACTTCTGAATGCTGTGGCAAGGAGGAAGAGGTCCCTATATGTATGGCAGCTGCAGCAGACATCAGCACTTACCACCAACAGAGCCCCATAAAAGGAGTAGCCATATTAAGTATGCTCCACATCAGGTAGGTCTTGCTTTCTGAGATATATATATATGGAAATGAGTATCAGGGAGCAGAAGGAATACTGCTGTAATGTCCCAGCATGCCCTCACACCACCTGCTGTATTGTGGGAGCTGTAGTCTCCCAGCATGTACTATGGAGCCATTAACTTTACAGAGTACTGTAGCTCAGGGGAGGCATGAGAATCAGAAGTGTGTTGTTCTCCTCAACAGTCACGTCTAAAATATTAAAGTTGTTCTATTTGTTTAAAATATAATTGTGATAAAACCCCTATTTTGCCTTCCCAGGAACCATTCTCTTCCTCAGTTCGGGAATCCATTTAAACTTCGTTTTTATGTTACCAAAGTCGACCGACTGCTAGCCCTGAATTCATGGAACTGTTTTGGGCGGTTGGTCAAATAATTGACTTCCATGGAAATTTCAAACCCCTGAACCAATCTGGGTGAAATTTCGGATATGTTGGTCACTCATATCAGGACGATCAGGGAATGTAACTTTTGTGGGGTTTTCATGTGTTTTGAAGGTACTTTTGCGGTGTTTGTAAATTGTATGTTTTTCTGTGCCTGGAGATAATGGAGTTTGTACAGTTCCTGACTCAATTATCTCCGAGGCACAGGGGAGGGATTACCCTGGTTTGTGTGGGAGTGTCATGGGTGTGTTTTCTGTGTCCTTGTACTGCATAAAAGCAGGCCATTGAACCTGAATTAAACAGATCATCTTACCCCTTCATGAAGTCTAGGCTCATGTTTGGGGGATTGGAAGCTATATTCACACTTATAATCACTATGGCGCTTGGGAGATTCTTTACGGATGTACTCAGCTGGAGTACTGGGATCCGTTACATATATAGTTCTTAATTTTGGGCTCAAAAAACAGGGGTCGTCTTATGCATGGGGCGTTTTATACACGAAAACATATGGTACATGGTTTCCAAGGTTGATTCCATTAATGTGACATTGGTTTTAAAAAATACTTTACAAGTTTCTTAAATTAGAGACTACAATAACATTGGGATTATTATATATATATATATATATATATATATATATATATATATATATATATATATATATATATATATATAAATCCTTTAATTCAATCAGTCTTCCTTATTATCACCAGTCTTCTCTAGTGTCTTTCTTTTATTTCCCCTTTTGAAAGCTTTCTCTTCCTAGTCTTTTCCTCAATATGATTTACTAGGCTTTTCACCCTTATTTGCCCATAAATATACTTCCTTCCTTCATTCCTACCAGTCTATATGCCCTAGTACTGTATTTTGTTTAATACACCATTTAACCAGTGTATTATGTTACTAAAAGAGACTGGTCATATCCAATTTTTAAAGCCACTTTCCAGGTTTGAATCTTTTTAAGTGTCTCCTTGTCATTGCCAAAGCCTATTTCTCTCACTATCTGAAGGCTCTTGCCAATAACTCATGCTTTGTTTTAGTGTCCTGAGTGACCCGAGAAACTAACAAAGTTTTAAAATGAGTTTGTGCAGGGTTCTGGCATTGTGACCACATTAAAGGAACACTATAGGCACCCAGACCACTTCATCTCAATTAAGTGGTCTGGGCTATCTATAGGTTTTCTTATTATTTACTTTCATTCCTGTTTATAATCTATTTAGGGCATATTGCCTAAGCCAGTTTATTTCAGTTTTCACTCTTTCCGATAATTTCTATTATAGGATATCCTGTTCATACTATGTCTAAGTTAACAAAAGAATGGTGGGCACACCCAATTGTCAGCCATATGCAATAGATTAAGGCAATTAATACAGATGCTCATTCATAAAGCCCTATTTCCAAAAGGCAACTGATACATTAATATGATACTATGATATACATACTATGTCTAAGAGCACAAATAAAGTACCTGAAGTCAACCCTGGCATAAAAGTCTCCTCTCTGACCTGCTCAAGATCATGACAGGAGAGCTACACATCAGCGACCAGCGCTGGGAGGGTGGTAAGGTATGCATGTATAAAATCTGCACACCAGGCAACAGAAATCACAAATGTTCCTACCGCAAAGGATTCTGGGTCTCACCTACTGCCAAGCCTCAATAGCAAGCCAGTAACCGACCTCATGCTGATGATTTGCTTTAACAATGAAATCGCTGTCCAAGAGTGGTTTACTGACTTTGCATCTTTTCCCAAGTTGTGTTTCAAAGCTGTTGTATACAGTAAACACAGACTCAAAGGAATCCATGATTAAAATGGAATGAGGCAAAAATGTGATTCTTTGTTGAATTAATTTGCATATGCCCTAAGTGGCTACTAAAAAAGACTGGTCATATCCAATTTGAATACCCTGGATTGTCTAGTTTTGCAAATGGTATGCTATGATGGGCTGCCATACAGTCTCAAAGGCAGCATAGGCCCAGCAAACCAATCTGGCAAATTTCAATGTGTAAAAATGAAAAAGGAGAAAGCCCTATATTTGACCCAGTAACTTTTCAAATTCCCCATAAAACCTGTACATGGTGGATACTTTGGTACTCGTAAGACATCGATGAACACAAATATGTGTATTTTATTGCAGCAAAATCTAACAGTATTGTGACATTTACAATTAATATGCCATGCAGAACTTGAAAAATAACAAAATGTCAATTTCTCAAATTTTTAAAAAAATGTTTCATATTAAGTTAAGTTTTTAAATATAAATATTTGATAGGAAATGAAAGCCCGATTTTTCCTGAACAAAATGATGTATAATACGTGTGGGTGCACGTAATATGAAAGAGGAAAATTATGGTTGAACAAACATACAGCGCAAATTCCAGGTTTTGTGTACAATTGACTCCGTCCTTAAGGGGTTAAAACACGGATCAAAAAAAGCACAATAAGTGACTTCAGCAAATATCATAGATAAGTTCTAAATCAGTGCTCCTATCATGAGAAACATTTCATCTTTACATTGTGCCAGCCTAAACGCAACCAAATGTACAGATCAAAAGTTATTTATCTATACACATTCTAACATTAGTTCAGTGACCGGTTTTTCAATCCAAATAAAACATATTGAGTGAGCATTGCTCTGGGGGAACCCACTAACCCATACAGTGAAAATGCAGCTGCCTGGACCCTCACACGTCTATTCCAACAAATGAAAAATCTCGTTTTGGGTCAAATCCACTATTCTAAAACAAACATTGTGTGTTGAAATGTGTTCAAAATGCACATTCCTTAGCATGGTCCAGCCTTTCACAGCTCTTCTCAGTCTCCAGTTCCAGACACTGTAACCACAATACAATCCATGGGAAGAGAAAAAAAAAAAGCCCACATTGGAGCATCAACCCCACTGATTTACCTTAAATCTGGAACAAAATAAAACATGACCAGTCCATGCACACACTGAGCTATATCACTCACACATACATGTCCCACAGCCTGAACATATTGAGCCTGAAGCCCAGACAATGTGGGGGTCCAGGTCAGAGCCCCTCAACTACTGAATACATGACCCGCACCCCGCTTACATCCAGCAGGCCTCCTCCTCCTCCTTGCAGCAGCGACGGTTCCCTTGCAAAGCTGGGTCTGCGTTCTGTTGCTATGGCTACCTATCGCGAGACTGTCCCCGCTCTCTCCCTCCTGTGGGCTGCTGGATCACCTGGCGACAGGCGTGACGTATATACACGTCACTGGCTATGAAATGCAGTACGTAGAGTAAGGAATCATGAATTATGTAATCCAGGATAAATCATTCCATGAGACATTCCCTATCCGCCCTTCATCCTATGGGTTTTTTTTTGTCACAGGCATTCTATTGTAACATTCCAACTCATTGTATAATTTTTAATTCCCTTCAGCTTGAACACGTCTTGCAAGCTTCCAACTGTCATTCCTTTATTTTCTAGTTATTTCTTGCCAGATTCAAATAGGGAAACTGCTGAACCATGCCCACAGATATCACGTGTCTCGCCTCCGACCAATCACAATCCACTTTCCTCTTGTTGACACCTTAGTACAGCTAGCTCAGCCCACTTTGGGAGTTCTCGTCGGCCACGCCCAGGACTCCGCCCCCTGGTCCCGTTGCTGCGCAACGAAGCCACACCCCTCTCAAACCGCTACACTTTCAATTTTATAACGTAATAAAATTAATCAATATTGTCCCCTTCAAAGATCCGCTTCCATAATCCACGTATCCGGTGTAAGGAGCGCCGTCCGTTAGAGACGATTCAAATAAGACGTTAGACTGCGTTAGATCTCCCCTACACTCTGAGGCGCTGGTTCCTCTCCAGGAAAATGGCCGCCGCCCCCAATTTTTTTTTTTTTTTTTTTTCAAATCTGAGAGAGTGTGACTTCCCAGAATCCCCCGCGCGTTTGTAACGAACTTCGGTTCGAGTTTGGATTTTGGGCGCCATTTTCGAGTGGAGCAGCCGAGCTGGAAGCAGGCAGCGTCTGGGCATCCCGCGGAAAAACTAGCAGGAGCTCTACCTCAAAAAAGCCCCGTCACAGGAGCCCCGGGACAACGCCAAAAATCCGCAAAAAAATCAAGACACCCCCTGAAGAAAAGGCGGAGCGGCCGGAGCTTTCCTTCAGGTGATTTTCAGCTCAAATGGAGATTTTAATTTTTTTTAGCGGGATGAGGGTCTGGGAGCTGACAGTGTAAACAGAGCCCTGTCCGCAGCTCTGACAGCACCCACACTCTCACACAGGGGGGGCTAGACACCACCCAGGGGGTCACACCATGCACACTGCTTGATTTATTTAAAAAAAAAGAAACAAAATTTAAAAACCGTAAAAAAAAAAAGTTTGGGGGTGGTTTTCTTCATTACCAGTCGGGTGTCAAAAAATTAAATAAAAATATCCTTGTGACACGGGTTTTTATTAACCCTTACCGTGCTGACATGTGTGAAAGTTGCACTCTGACACCGGTTATCTCTTTGCTTTAATAGGAATCCCCCCTGGGCCGTTTACTATTATTCTCAATTAAACTTTTTTTATTTTTTTGGTCCGTAGTTTTAAATCTGCAGTGACTTTTGTTTTTTCTTTTCACAATCTTGATATAACCTGTAACATCAAGTGTGTGTGTGTGTGTGTGTGTGTATATATATATATATATATATATATATATATATATATATAATTTATTTATTTTTTCACTTGATTTCTGGAATCCGGTTTATTAACCCCTTAAGGACACATGACATGTGTGACATGTCATGATTCCCTTTTATTCCAGAAGTTTGGTCCTTAAGGGGTTAAAATATTGATTAAAGTGGAACATTTCTTGATAGTTTTAAGTTACTGGGTTAATATAAGAATATATATTATCAGTGTCATGTCTTCTTACTAACTGGCTGAGATTCCCCCCCCCCCTTTTTTTTTTTTGTATATGTCTTTATACTTGTCTTAATGGGCCAGTTTCCTATCAATTGAATAAACTCTTGTTTTTAAAACTGCAACTCCCATAATGCTTTGTCTGCCAAACGGCTGACAGCTCTGCTGGAGTTGCAGTTCTACATCAGATGGCATGGTGGGACTACCTTTTGTCCTTCTCTGGGTTAAGGCAAACGGACCACGTTTTATTTAATTTGCAGGAGTGACGTTGTCCATATTTTCACATTATAATGATCTTATCATACTTTCTACTGGTAATTTTAAAATGGCTATGTATGATCAATTTTGAGGTGCACTAAATTTATTAATTTTTTTTAACCCTTTTTATTAATATTGATTGACGACTTCCCATTTGCAGTGTTAACATATCAGGATTCTACAAAAAAAGCCATATCTTTTACCAATGACTTAATTTGTGGTAGTGTAGTACTATTTGTGAATTGGCCTGCTCTGGGGTGAGGGGGTGCCAAATGTTACCAGTGACAACAGTAAAACTGTTGGCTGGTTCGTCTAGTGACACACCTGTAAGACTGGGTCATTGATGGCTAACCTTCGCATTCTAAATGTTTTTGAACCAGCTGCCTCGTGGCTGGCTGAGCGTCATGGGGAATTGGTTTACAAACATCGGTGTTGCCAAGGTTAACTACCACTGGTTTAGGAAATACGCACCAGGGATCACTCTTCACGTACACTGTCTTGGATACCCAGATCATCATGCCACCCAAGAAGACCAAGGCTTCTACTGCAGTGGCCCCAAAACCTAGTGAGGATCCAGTAGAAGAAAATGACGCAGTCCCGCCATCTGAAGAAGCCCAGGGAGATGGGGAGGCACCTTCAAAAGGTAAGACCTTTTTGTGTTAAGATGTATGTTTTAATAAAATTGCATTTGTGCACTGAATTTGAATTGGATAGCACCCCTTGTGAGAATACTGGGTGATGAGCATTGTCCTTCCATTGCAACTGGGGCGTTTAGCCTTCTATTAATCTGAGGACATGAACAGCCCTTAAAAAGGGTAGCACTACTGCCAATGTCGCAATGCTACATTGTTTTTAGGCAGAGAAAAAAAAATTTTTTACTCAAAAGTGCGTTTGACCAGTGTAAGTCTTTTGCGTAAAAGCTATAACCAACAGGGAGGTGCAGGAATGGAAAGAGTCAATGTCATCTAGTGATCTGATGAGGGGTGGGGGTGTTATTTCCATTGCTGCCTCCCTAATACACCCCTTGCTCTGCCGACTGTAACCTTTAGGGGAGCTGGCAGTTTGCATGCTCGGCAAGCGATGGGGGTGTCCTTTGTGTCAGAAGCAGAGAATAACGTACCCGGGCTGTTAACTCCTTGTGAGCTTGTATGAGCTTTTTGTACAGTTAAACATATGTGCTGAGGCTTCCAAGTAAGTTTTGAATGGTTTACTGTCTTGGTAATGCATTGTCTTTGATAGATCGGTTATTAGCTCTGGTTTTTTTCTTACTTTCAGTTGATTGCCTGTAGAATCTAATACATTTTAAATGTTGGGCAACAGTTGATGCTGTCTGTTACGGTACAGCTTCTCAACATGTTCATAAAAACTTTATTGGTATTTTGTTTTTTGTATGTTTGTCATTGTGTGTCCACTGGTGCCTTAAAGGAATAGGGGCGTAAAGGGCAGTGAAAGAAGGGCGTTTGTGAGCAATACTGTTGTGATTCCTGTAAAATTGTTTGTCAACTGTTTAATGATTTACAGGTTTACTTGCCTCCTGACTTTTAAAGAATACATTTTCTATTGTGTTTTAGAGCCCCAAAATGAGGTGGTTGATAATCGAACTTTAGAGGAGATTTTGAGTAGCATCCCTCCTCCCCCACCTCCAGCAATGACCAATGAAGCTGGAGCTCCTCGTCTCATGATAACTCATATTGTAAACCAGAACTTCAAATCGTATGCTGGGGAAAGGATTCTGGGGCCTTTTCATAAGGTATTATCTTGTTTTCATACCTTAGATTTTTGTGGGGAATTTTTTTTTTTTTTTTCTGCTCCTTAGAATATGAAAATGGTTACAGTGTACCTCAGCTGCATACGTAGCTCACAAAATTATCTAGGAAGATATAAATGGTATACGCTTATGCATATTTTAAGAGCAATATTCCCAAAACGTTTTATTTTAAAAAAACAACAAAGTACAGTAACATTTATTTTATTACAAACGTTATGACTCTTGTTTCAAATTATTGGCTTGTTAATTTTTTATTTTTTTTTATTTTGCTCAGCGCTTTTCTTGCATTATAGGGCCTAATGGTAGTGGAAAATCCAATGTGATCGATTCAATGCTCTTTGTTTTTGGATATCGCGCGCAAAAAATAAGATCCAAAAAGCTTTCTGTTTTAATACATAATTCCGATGAGCACAAAGATGTACAAAGTTGTACAGTAGAAGTTCATTTCCAAAAGATCATAGACAAGGTAAGACATAACTGGCTTATTTTGTTTTGATTCCTAGGTTTGATAAATTTTTCAAATAGTGTGTATTTTTTGTTTTGTTTTTTTGTGCTGGTGGGAATGTGTTAGTGAGTGCTTTCATTTAAAATTTAATGGAAATTGGTTATAGTTTTTTTTGTTTGTGTGTGGTCTAAGGTAATAAGTTAACTGTAAGCATATTGTTTAGCAATTTATTGTATTCTGGTATGAATATTTTCTTCTTTTTTTTTTTGCGCAAGTTAAGCTCTCCTTCCTTTCTTTTTTGTTGGTAAAATCATGGACTGTAGCTGTCCTTATATTTACTGTTCTTGTGTCTTCGATTTTGAATCTGTTACTTTTTCGTATGGGATTTCCCCTCCCAGTTTTGTTTTTGTTTCCTGTTTGCATGCTGATGTTCTCTCTCTCTCTCTCTCCATTGTTGTCTAACATCCATATAATGAAGCGTAATATTATAAATTTAGTGTCAACCACCAGTGTAACTTTTAAGTGTACGGTTTTGAAATGAAGATAAAATTGGCTACAGAAATTATGCCAATTTTAATGACTGGTAAAAAAAAAAAATAAATGTTCGATTACTACTTTACTTTGCAAATGTATTTTCAGATATTGGGGTTTGTTTGTTTTTGTTTTTTATTTATGAAATACAACTGTATTTGATCATAAATTTTATTTAGAAAATATCTTGGTTTAAGATGTTTAATTTTGTATCTATAACAAAATATTGATATTTTATTTATGAATTGGTCTAGTCTTATATTATGATGACCAATATTTTAGAATTGTTGCTAATTCTTCTCTTTTTTTCAGCAATATACTTTTTATCTGTCTGTTTCTAAGTTTTTGTGACCGCACTACAGAATGTCAGTGCTTTATACATTTCAATAAATCATTGTAAATTTGCAAATGATACGTAGTTGCTTAATTTTATATAACATATTGATAAAATACTAATTCAAATTTTTCAAAACAGGAAGGGGATGATTTCGATGTTGTTCCTAACAGCAATTTCTATGTTTCCCGAACGGCCTATAAAGATAATTCTTCTGTCTACCACATAAGTGGAAAGAAAAAAACATTTAAGGATGTTGGTGTGCTGCTACGAAGTCATGGCATTGATTTGGATCATAATAGATTCTTAATTTTGCAGGTGAGTTTTTGGCTTTTACAAGTTTGATTTATTGTGAACTTGGTTCATGTCTCTTGCATGTTGTAGTCTTATCTTTAGATTTCAGTTGGATAGTGTACTCTGTTAAATATGTAAATTATTTTTTCCCCTGCATATGATATTGGAAGGCCCTAAAAATCTGTAGCAGCACATCATGATTTGCATGCTACATTAAAGATACTAATCATTATTTGCTGCTTCAGGATTCTAGGGGACATTATCTATCATTTGGCACTTGCTTACATTCTGAAAGGATGAAGAAAAGTAATAACATATTTGTTCCGCATTAGCAGCACGTAAATATTGGGTGATAAAATGGTGAACCCCAATATTACTGTGCTGCTTAAGCGTGGCAAGGATCAAGCTACGGCATCCTTAAAATTTTATTTGCGTTCATTTATAATTCCTAACTCGACGCTTTAAAAAACAAAACAAAAAAAAACCTTATTGAAACAATAAATATAAATTCTTTCCAGAGAAACTTTTTGTGTTTTCAAATCTCTTTACACAGAATACTTCTTTGACTTCAGTGTGAGCGAATATAGAGCCGTTTGGCACATATATGCAAATAAATGGTTAATTCTGCCAAAGCAAAAATACCGCCTGTGATGTTTTTGTAGACTTCGGGATAAATTCTACTTCTCAGAAAGCGGATTGATTCAGCCTTATTTAAAAAGGCATAAGCAAACTCAAATTTTATGTGTCTGTTTAACCTTTTCTTTTCCAGAATAGCCTTTCTATTAACTGCTCTGCAGCATAACACAGCACTCCCATTGGCTTAGCACGAACTTCCTCTTTATTGCATGCCCTGTAAATTCAAATGTATGTAGCATCACCATAATGTATGTAGCATTGGTGATGACTGAATGCATATACAGTCGCATAATTTTGTTCGCTCTACTCTTTCCCACAAAGATACATTTATATAGATTAGAAAAAAATTAAACCTATGTGCCAAATGATCAGCTAATATGTAATGCAAATTCTAATTGAATGCATTGATATTTGTTTAGGTAGCTTGTCATGGGGTGTAGTTATTTTGCCATATGATGTTTAGTAAGAACTTTATTCTGAAGTAAGGTTTTTAGTCTGTTGCTTGTCAGGCAACTGCAACTGTATTTTTAGGTTGCAAAGTTGACTCTACCTGTAATACTTCACCATTTCCTCTTAAATCAGTTTACATCATAGTTGTTTGGGAAGAAGGCTAATTTAAAGCAAAGACAAGCTTGCAGTGGTATACTCTTGAGATCACTGGTGCCAATAAATCTAGCCAAATCATAGCAACAAATTATTTGTGTGTGTGTATATGTATAAAAATAAAGAAATTAGGCCCTATGCTCAAACTCCCACTACTCCTGGACGGCAGCAATGATAATGTTACACACCAACCCCAATACATACAATAAAACCAAAGCAAAAAGCTTACCCACTATCCCAAATCCCTATGCACCTTTAAATAACTGGAGGGTTTTTATTTTAAATGTTTTTTGTTTTTTGTTTTTTTTGTAGGTGGTGTGTGTATGTATATATATCTCTATAAAGTGTGTGTGTGCGTATATATGCACACAACTGTTATCTATCGTGGGGGGGGGTGTATGTATGTATGTATGTGTGTGTGTGTGTGTGTATATACACACACACACCCTTCATTTATAAGTGCGTGTAGAAATGGATATATATTATAGTGTGTATCTTTTTTTTTTTTTTTTTTATCAACCTGTGTATTTTGAAATTGATAATACAATCAATCCAGAATCATAATATTGCAAAAATGAAATTGTTTTATGCTATGCTGATACTAGATGCACACAAATGAATGTGCAACTGCATGACTGTCATATAACTGTATTAAATGTGCAAGACAAAAATTGCTGCACCATAGAAGATGTCATTTTTAGTTGTTGGCCCTTGTAATCAATGCTCTCAATAAAGTTGCAATTTGTATTCATAAGTCTGTTTTTGTTTTCTATGTGAACAATATGTAAATTAATCTTTTATTTATTTTTTTCGCTCTCCTTTTATGGTTTCTACATGTTTTATATACACTCATGAATTAAAGCTCTTCAAGTAATTTTTATTTTTATTCCCCCACCCCTTCCAATTTAAACTTGTGACTTATGTGTTTTAAGATAGTTTGCGTTCATTTCTTTAGTTCTAATTTTTATGATCTGTTCAATTTAACACCTTTCACTTCTTGAAACTCTAGAAAGTTTGCTTTTTATTTTTGTTTTAAATGTATGCGGTGTGGGATAATAATGAAAAATAAATGTTCTCTTTAAGTGATGTATTGATGTAATGTGTGTTTAAAGAAAATATAGATTATCTAAAATAGATCAGAAAAATATGTTGCTTAAATATATATATATATATATATATATATATATATATATATATATATATATATATATATATATATATATATATATATATATAATTATAGATTTATAATAAATAAACTGTTGAAAGATAAGATAAACCTCTTCTTGCAAAGAACCTGAACACAAAAACATTATTCCAGCACTGGGATAATCTCTCAATTTTTTTAGGCTGTCACTCTTCAGACTGTTTTTCAAATAAAGACACTATTGTGAGGTTTGGCATTATAGTGAAATGTTCTTGATATGGTTTTTGTTTAAATTTTTATTTTATTTTTTCTTGATTCAATACTGGATGGACAAGGGTTAACGTCGAAAAGTAATTTGGAATCGTTCCGTCATACTATAAACAGTTGATCTAGCTTTTTAGCCAGACAAATAAAACTGATTAGTAGGATGATTTTGCAAATATTCAATATTGGGTTAATGTTTAAGTTTAGTTGAGAGCCTTTGTGACTTTAATATTTCTCGTATCCTAATTGTCCAGATATTTATAGTTGAATCTATGTGTTGGTTTCCAATAGTGCATATTTTATTTATATAGCGCCAGCAGATTCTGTAGCGCTGTACAATGGGTTATATGCAGTATAACAAGTGAACATTTGAATACAGCTGCAACATCAATAATATAGAAAATGTCATCAAATGGGCAGTTAAAATTAAGAATGGTAACCTTTTAAATTAATACATGCACCCCATTATTTTTATTTTTTGAGCCTTTTTGTTGTTTGAAACCTCCTTAATGAAAATCTCATTCTGCTTAGGGTGAAATGTATATGTAAATGAGGAACACATTTTTCTGAAAGTTGCAAATACAGCGATCACTCCTCTCATGATGGCAAACAGTCAATTTGTGCTGCATAAGTAGCACACCTTCAAAAATTAAAACTTAAATGGGTTTACTCACTATAAAATACATGATTTACCACACACTTTACTACTCAATCAAATTAGTCTCACAAAGCATATAATTTTTATGCTGTGTAGCATCCAGAGGAGTTCTACCCCTTAAAATAGGTCTTAATTACCTTGAAAATATTTGTGGTGTTTCTTGCCAGATGTCTATTTGTTGTTCAATAAATGCAGACTTCTTATACATTGGGTAATATGCCAAATAATGCCTAAGGGACCAACTATCTTGCTTTACAATTGGACCTCCTATAAAGCAACATTTCTCCGCCTTTAAAAAAAAAAAAAAAAAATTAATTCTAGAAATGTTTTGATGTCAAGTAGAATACAGTGATTTGTTTCAAAAGATGTAAATATATTTATGCATTTTCAAAATGCTGGGCATTATGCAAACTTTTATAATATTGTGGGTTTTTATTACTTTCAGTTTAGAGCAATACATGATTTTGTTTAAAGCTTCACACTGCCTCAAAAACCTACATCAATGTAGTGAAAGGCAACACATTAAGCAGCAGTAATAAATCTAGAGCATGGGTTGCCCTACCCTCCTTGCATTTTTTTTTTTTTTTTTTTTTAAATGAAACAAAAGACTGGCAAGGCACAATCAGGTATGTTATAAATGGTGTGCTGTCCCATGTTCCTATTCTGTAACTTTGGAAGCATGGCAATAACACATGCATATATTTGCTCAAAGTGTTATGGGAAGATATTGGTGCAAGTACCCAAAAGTATTTGGAGTTTTATTTTAATTTGTATCCCTCACTGTATACTCACAGTAAATGCATCAATAGAATTTGCAGGAATGTTTTTATTTTTTTATATTTTTTTTTATGTTCCCATCTATTCTTATTACAACTTAATTTTATTTTTGCCAATCGGTGTGAGATAGAGATATATAGATATAGATATAGATATATATATATATATAATCTATATATCTATTTTTTATTTTTTTTTGATTGCTAGTACTATTTAGTAACTTAACTAGAGTGATTTTTTAAAAATATATATATATATATAAAAAAATATTTCAGTTTTTGTTTAAATATAATTATATTCTGGCTTTTTTTTTATTTTATTTTTTTTTTTGAATAGCAATACTGACTACAGCAAGGTTAACAATGAGACAGCCATACTATACTCAGAACATATAAAACAAATTAAACTATTTAAGCATTTAGTAGTAATAGGTGATTTACAAGCCAGCATGTAGGTTGCATTTTCAGAAATATATTTTTTTTTTTTCTACTTTATTTAGAAATTCAATGTCTTTCTGATGAATATTATCGAATATATTCACTCTTTAACTAAATGGATGTCTCCAACACTATGCATATATGGGTTTTCTCTTAAAGTTCTTGAACTTAAAATGGCTTTGCATTTTTGTGTGCATGGGTGGGGGCCACAAAAAATTATAACCTTCAGGATTATTTACTAAATTGAGAATTACTGGGAAGTTTCAAATGTAAGGCCAAACTTGTAATGACTTAAAGAATATTTCTAATTCTGCTGTTCCGGCCTAAACTTTGGAAATTGTTATGAATTCAGTCTACTGAATAATGGAGTTAAGTCAAGAGCTCGCTGTTCATTTCAGCTATTAGAGCGGTGAGAAAAGCGTATAGTATGAGTTTGGATATGGATTCTTATTTCTTACACCTGCATATACCTGTTGGGATTGAAATGGTTAACTAAATTTAGCTTTATATCTCTCAAGTGAAACAAAGTTACAGGATCTTAAGGTGAATTCTCCTTTCCATATTACCAAGTTATTTGTCAGCCAGAAGAAATTTGCTATTGAGATGGGAAGAATTGTTCCCATGTTTCTTAATAAATTATTGGATATTACTTTTTCATATATTGATGTATTTTGACAAGTATTATATAGGATTTTTATTGTGTAAAAGTCTTTTAAACACTTGTTCTCTTGCCTCTGAAAAATGTAGTGATTGTCAATGTATTTTCTGTGTATCTCCCCCTCACTATTTTTATTTATATATGTGTATTTATATATATATATATATATATATATATATATATATATATATATATATATATATATATATATATATATATATATATATATATATATATGTGTATGTATTGTGTGTGTGTGTGTGTTATTTTATATACGTATTAAAATAGGTAAATATATTTACTTATTGTTACAGTGAATGGTGAAGCTGACATGTTTAACTTTTGAAGATCACTTCCTCGTCACTTAACATGACCCTTGGAATGGACTGGGCAGCTACATCACTGCTATCCCTATATTCCCTTGCGTGCAAGTGCATGTTGCACCACTAGAAGGTGCTGTGACTACATACACTAATGCACCTTTCCTCCATGTTTTGTAGTCTTTACAACGAAGGTCAATCTTTTAATGTTTAAATTAACATTTATGCTATTTCTAGTAATTCAAATAGAAAGTGTATAGGTGAATTTTCATTCTAAATAAAGGGACACTGTCATGACAAGTACAATTGAAATTATATTTTAGTATGCTACAAATCTTTGCTTTTACATATTTGTGCTGTGTTAACCCTGATTTATTTTGTATACTTTTTTAATTTTTTTAAAATTTGTTTTGTAAAATTCTTAGAGCCTGTCTTTAACAATTGTTCTATTATGAACATTTACAGCGTTAATAAAATCACATTTGATTTCTTTTCTTTTTTTTTTTCTTTCTTGAACACGTGTCAATGCTTGCTTACCAAAGTAGCCTTACATTTCATCCCAGCAACACTTCGTAAATTTGCTATGCCATACAAGTTATAAGAATGTCCTATATTTAAATTGTGTGACTTTGTGAGGTGGTTTGTTTGTCTTGTCTTTTCTCGCCAAAAAAACAAAACGTAACTTGCCTTGTTGGCCTACCGTAGGGTGAAGTCGAACAGATAGCAATGATGAAGCCAAAAGGTCAAACTGAACATGATGAGGGAATGCTGGAATATTTAGAGGATATAATTGGATCAGAAAGATTAAAGGAGCCCATTCAAATTCTCTGCCGCAGAGTTGAACTCTTAAATGAGCAAAGAGGAGAAAAGGTAACAGTGGGACTAATTGTATGTCTAAAATTTTTTATATATATATATATATATATATATATATATATATATATTCTCTCAAACAAAAGGCATATTAACAGAAAATAAGCTTGTGCAGCATATAATTTTTTTTTTTTAGTTTTTTTAGATTTGTATAGGCAGTCTGTATAATATGTATTGTCATAATGAGACACCTGTTTAATAAAATAACTGGAAATTGTTTAATGTGAAATACCTTGGTATGTATGCATAAGAATATCTAGCACAAACCAAAATGGATATGGGTCACATCATTTGGATGGGGAGCAGTACTTTTTGTTTGTGTAAGTATGCACAATCCAAGATCTAGTGCACTCACTAAACATTAAAACTCACAAAGTAATTTATTTTTCAAAAAATATATATGAATACCGCACTCAATGTTGTAAAATAATCAACCGTAGGTAAAGAAGTGCTATAATTGAATTATAGCACTTCTTTACCTACGGTTGATTATTTTACAACATTGAGTGCGGTATTCATATATATTTTTTGTATGATATTTATGGGGCTTTTGTAGGGATAACCTCGAATACCAGCACCACCTATGTGATTGAGTGCCAGCATATATTATCTTTTTGTAATTTATTTTTCAGTTGAACACATGCCAAAATTAATAGGGGTTTAGTTACAGTATATGTTGATACATTGCATAAACCATCCACAACACCAATGTATACCCTGTTATTGGAAGGTCTTATTCTAGCAATTTATTGTCAGCTCCTGTGAGATTAATATAATAACTTTAGAGCTTCCTTCTGGGGCTCTGCTGTGCAATGTTTGTATAGGGCCTTTGAAAGAGATAGGGAGGGCTGCAAAGCCAAAGAGTTTGGCCTATGAACAGATGATGGAGCTGTATATTTCTTTATTTTTTTTAATTTTTTTTCAGATATATATATATATATATCTGAAAATTATTTTTCTTTAAAAACTCTTATGTATGCAGGTTTAGTTGAACACAGCCTGTGTGTGTGTGTGTGTATGTGTGTGTATATAATATATAATATACACACACATACTGTGCAACAATTCCTTTACATCAGTATATATCCACATACAATTGATTAGCTTCAATTTAGTATCACATGTAAAAAACTAAAACAATAGGGAAATATTGCCAGTTCACATAGTCATAAAGGAAAGAGAAACAGACACAGAGCAGTACAGTGTATATATATATGTATGTATATATGTATGTGTGTGTATATGTGTATATATATATATATATATATATATATATATATATATATATATTCACACACACACTCTCACACACACTCTCACACACACACACTCACACTCAGACTTTATTCCAACCAGTAAGGAAAACAGCAGGCTGGTAAACCTTCCATGCACTTGGTTCCCCTTACATGAAGCTTCCCTGCTGGACACACTCACTTGCCAGCTATGTGAGGTTTCCAAGTGATGCTTTGATCGTAATGGGAGTGGAGCTTACTAGCAGCGTGTATATAAAGTCGGGGTGCAATTACGTGTTTCAGCAGTATAATCTGCCTCCTCAGATCCCATGGATGATCACAACAATTTCTGATTTTAGATTATTTTTCTAACTTGCTCACTTAACATTAATTTAAAAAAAATTAGCATTTCTATTTTTAAAGTTTTTGTTTGAGTATCTCCTGCCTTAAAAGTTTACACAGTTGCATTTATGTGTACACGTCACTTTAAATGAGTTGAGTAAAGTTTTGATAAAGTAATATGCATTCATGAAACTGACCCAGTAGGTTAAAAAAAATAAATGTGAAACACGGTTTGTTACAGGGCTATAGTAAAGGGATGAAGCAGCTGAACACAAATTTCGTTTGTTTGCTTGCATTGGCAATACTGTGTAAAATATGCAACTATGATAGAATGCAGTGGTAGATATATAAATCTCACTGTAACCAGACAGAGCGTCATGTGATCCAGTATCCAAGATGGCGGAGGGCTGTTGTTAGGGGCTGCTTTACTCAATTATGCAAGGGAGGTGTTGAGAATTATGGTCTGTCTTGTCTATTTGGGTCATGTATTTAATGGTGAGTGCACTCTGTTTTTGTAAGGGCATGCATTGATAAAGGGGATAACCCAAAAAGTTTGTACCTTTAAGTCCTTGACAATCTTTTTGTACCACTTGGTGTGCACACTTGCAATTGTTTGCGCTGCCCTAATTTTTTTTTTATATTTTTTTTGTGTGTGTTGAAAATTACATGTGGGGAATGTGTGTGTGTGTGTGTGTGTGTGTGTATATATATATATATATATATATATATATATATATATATATATATATATATATATATATATATATATATATATATATATATGTATGTGTATATATATGTATGTATGTGTGTGTATAGAATTTGTAGGGGATTTGCACTCCAGCTTTCCTTCTAGTGATGGCCCGGTGCTCAGCTGCACAAAAATACAGCTTCTAACAGAAAGCCAGCAGTCAAGGACTTTTATGAAAAATATGAAGGCTTTTAATACAGTAAACTTTCTTCAGGACATAAATAGCATATCTCTAAACATTGGCTTTAAATAAGGAGAGCTTACTCACCTAACTTCCATCACCTGTGTGCTGGTGTGTACTGCTTCCCTATGCGCATGCATGTGGTCAGACTCCTCCCTCTGTCCTGTCACACCATCCGGGCCATCTAAACCCATCACCATGGCAGTGTATCAACATTTCACCAGACGGAGCTAAGCTCCGTGAGTATTCAGAGAAATAGAGCTGTTAAAAACAGGCAGAGAAGTGAATCATGTGAATGATATAAAGTAAGATTGCTAATTAATGTAAGCGATTTAAAGAGTGACTTCCATATGTATGTGCAAATGATCACTCCAATAAGTATATCTGTGTATATAACTGTAAACACCTTAGGGTGTTATATGGAAAAGTGCCAGTGCTCATATAAAAGATAGAAGCCTAATAGTGGCTGTATATGCCTAATGTATAGGAATGTGAGCATAAGCAAATCTAAACCGTGTTAAAAGTGCTACGTGCAAAAATGCTAAATATATCATCTCTGGCTCTTGAGGGACAGCTACTAAAGAAATGAATGTTCTTATACATTTATCGAAACATGGGGGACCAGGAGATAACCTACAGCATCATAGGGATGCAATGTATCTATGCATTCAAATAACTATATATACACAGTGTAGAAAATTATTGAAAATAACTTATTTTCTACAAATGCACTTCCCAACTTAACTATCAGGGAAGTAAGAGATGTATTTATAGATCTCTCGAACAGCGTTGCTCCCGGTCTGATTGGGCTGCCTGACAGCCCAGGCAGTCCCTCTTGGCGAATAAGAACCCCGCGGCCATGTGATGGCTCTGAAAGAGCGGTTGCATGGCTGCAATAGGTGTCCGTGAATCTGCCTGCAGGGGGACTGTCTGACAGGCAGTCCTCCTGCTGGTGGTAAAAAGATAAAATAACGTTTTGTTTTTTTAAATTATTTTTAAAAAGCAATCGGTGTAAAAATAAAATACAAATCTATATCTCCTATCTAAAAAAATTATTTATATAAAATTTTTATATAGATATCTATGTATGAGGTGTTTTTAAATAAAACTATTAGTCTCCTAAGATTTGAAACCATGGTTTAGTGAATAAGTGAGTGCGCTGGATTCTGGATTTTGTATATTTTAGCCCCAGCAACACCCTATAATGTATGCATGTCTAGGTGAGTGCAGCCCTCTTGGTTTTTTTTTTTTTATATATGAGAAAGAGAGATGATATATCTTATACATAATGTCAAAGTGTATTTTTATATTAATATTAAAACACTTATAATTAAATTACACACATATATACTTTTATATATATATATATATATATATATATATATATAATGTATTCTAAAGGTATTTTGAGATTAATAGATATTTATATCAAAATACACTTAGAATGAAATTATATATAAATAAAAATGATAAGAAATATGTATATAATCCATTTACAAAATTACATAAATAAATTCAGAAATATACACGTAGACTTCAAATGTATAATAATGTATGTGTGTATAATATATATATATGTATATGTATATATATATATATATATATATATATATATGTATGTAGCGTTACTTACCTTAACCGGGGGCCGGTCGCGGTCCTCTCTTCAAGCCGCGCGCGGTCCTGCGGCTGCACGAGCCGCGCGCGGCTCATCCAACTACTTCGGATGGAGGGCGGGCAGTGACCGCGTGAGGCGGTCACGTGTCCCGCCTGAATCTAAGAGCGCGCCGCGAGTCTCGGGCGCGCTCTTAAAGGGACAGTGGGTGCCTAAATTGGAAAAGGCATCCCATTGGTCCCTGTCATGCCACACTCCCCATACACTTACCTTTTGGGGGCGTGGATATGACAGGGACCAATCAAATTAGATGTTTAGGTATTTATACTCACCTTCTTCCCTTTGTTCCTTGCCCTATCGTGGTTTCTGTTTCAGTTCCCTTTAGCGCTTGTGGTGTTCAGTTGTGTTTTCTCGTATTGACTTTGGCTTCGTATTCTGACTTCGTTTTCGCTTTATCCTTATCTGTACTGTTTGCCGGCTTGCTGTTTTCCGTGTACCAGACCCCGGCTTGTCCTAGTTTACGCTGTCTCTCTGTGCCCTTGACCTCGGTTTGTTCCTGGCTCTGTCTTCTCTCATATACGTCAAGTCCGGCCATTCTAAGGTCCGGTAGACGTATCTCTCCTCTGTATTTGCCTCTGTTTAGCTGGATCCTGCGTGTAGGGGTATATTCTCGTTACAATGTAATAGTTTTGCATAATGTTAATGATTGCAATTTGAGGACATGCCTGACAACCCAGACCGAAAGTCAAGAGAACTTAATTTGCTAGCACTGTTTAACTCTGTAAGTTTCTATGACACCCTAAAACCTGTACATGGGGGGGGGGGGTACTGTTTTACTCGGGAGACTTCGCTGAACACAAAAATTAGTGTTTCAAAACAGTAAAACGTATCACAACAATATCATCAGTGAAAGTGTTGTTTGTGTGTGAAAAATGCATAAACTGCTCTTTCACTGTCCATATCATCGCTGTGATAGTATTTCAAAACAGTTAAACCGAATATTTGTGTTCAGCGAAGTCTCCCGAGTAAAACAGTGCCCCCCATGTACAGGTTTTAGTGTTTTTGAAAGTTACGGGGTCAAATATAAGGCTTGATTTTCCTTTTTATTTTTTTATTTTAATTTTTTTTTAAATTTGCCAGATTGGTTTTGTTGCCTTTGAGAGCGTATGCAAAAGACAACCTAAGGTATTGCAAGTGGGGTATGTTCAGTCTTTTTTTAGTAGCAGACTAGTGGCCAAAGTTAACGTTCATAATTGGGATTTTTTGCATTTTTAACATACAAACCTATATAAATGCTAACTTTGGCCAGTGTTTGTGGCTACTAAAAAAGACTGGACATACCCCATATTGAATACCCTGGGTTGTCAAATTTTAAAAATATATGTACATGTGAGGTGTGCTTCAGAGATTTATGACAGTTTAGTGTTACAATCTCACTATTAAATTTAAAATGATATACATTTTGAAACCACAATGTAAACACTTGGTCTTTATAAACTTAGGACACAATTTTGAATCCATTTAGCAGGTTATTTTTTTTCTTCATTAGCTTTTGTAGATCAGTAAAAGATTTTCCACATAAAAGTCCAAAAACGTCGTGTGTTTTTTTTTATTTTTTTTTATTTTTTTAGTAAAATATATCACATGATACAAATAATGGTATGTAAAGAAAGCCCCTCTTGTCCTGAAAAAGCAAATATATAATTTGTATGGGAACAGTAAATGAGAGGGGAAAATTATAACTAAACGCAAACACCACAAAAGTGTTAAATCAGCCCTTGTCCTTAACGTACAACATGGCCACAACAGTCCGGTCTTTAAAGGATCACTATAGGGTCTGGAACACAAACATGTATTCCTGACCCATTAGTGTTAAACCACCATCTAGCCCCCCTGGGCCCCCTCATGCCTCCATAAATATAGCAAATCCTTACTGTATTCAAGCTTGAAGCTGTTTATCTGCATGCTGTTTGCCTCAGAAAAACAAGTTGTCTGCTGACATCATCAGAAGTGGTGGTCTGATCCAATCACAATGCTTCCCCATAGGATTGGCTGAGGCAGATCAAGGGTAGATGCATTTTAGGCAGCCATGACCCAGGAAGGATCTCGAACAGCTATCAGAGGAGTGGACAGTAAAATTATCACTAGGTTGTAATGTAAACACTGCATTTTCTCTGAAAAGAAAGTGTTTACAGCAAAAAGCCTTAAGGTAATGGTGGTTCTCACCAGAACAAATTCAATAAGCTGTAGTTGTTCTGGTGACTATAGTGTCCCTTTAAATGGTTAAACATGGATTCCTTTGAGTCTGTGTCTGCTGTATACAACAGCTTTGAAACACAACTTAGGAAAAGATGCAAAGCTAGTGAATCGCTCATGGACAGCTGTTTCATCGTTAATGAAAGTGTGTGAATTTTCCCGAATATTTGAAAAAAAATAAAAAATTATATTTGAAGGCTTGGCCTGGAGTTGTGGGAGGGGCTTGGTTCACCTTTAAAAGGGCTTCCAATCCACTCCCACCTTACCGTTGCTGGTCTGGTGAGTCTGAAACGTTACTTCCGGTTCAGACCGCCATCTTGGATTTTTCCTTACCTGTTCCCTCGTGGTCTCCTGGTCCGAGCTTCCCTGACTCTCCTTACCGTTGCCGGCGTCTGCACAGCTCGCTCGTTACCTCTTCTTCACGAAAACCGTAAGTCAGGCTTGCCGTAAAGCAACCGCTGCAATTCCCATGCTTTACACGGCGGAGCCCCGTTCGGTTCAAATCTAAGTTCGGTTCGTTTTATTGTATCCCTATTGCATTCATCTTAAATGCTTCACTCAGCTATTCGCGTGTTCACCGTTCAAAATAACGAACGATATCATTCGGTTAAATTATGCTTAAACATCGGTTGGTTTCGAATGTAAATTATGGTGTATCTATTCGGTTGTTTCTACACTCTATATAGTTCTTTCGGCAACTACACTAACTCACGTATTAAGCACGAATTCAGCCAGTACTCCATGGGGATTTCGCCCCTACTGGTTACAAACGGTGTTGCAGTAAATCTATTTATTAAATAGGAATGTTTTAAACAAAGTTGATGGGTCCTGATTTACTGAATTTGTTTTCCCCACAGTCATCCCAGTGGTTCGTACTGGGAATTGTGAATTCTGTCACTGGTATCAATTTTCTTATAGGTTGGTTGATGTTTAAATTATGTTTTTATGAAGTCCAATGATACACATTACATTAGTTAAGCATGTATTTTACTCTTTTAGGTTGTTTGCCTTCAAGCGGTAGCTTTTACAAGCACGAAAACCGTCGTCAATTTCGATTAATCTACCCTCTGCAGTGTCGGGTAGGTTCCTTGTTTTTAGGGCCCACGATCTGGCCATAACACTACGTTTAATCACTCGTTAATATATCAGATCTCATGTCCAACAAGTAATCATCTTGAGACTGTTACAGTCACTGGTTACTTCTACCTCGACAGCGCAACCTGACTCACATATCCGGTACTACGCCAGAACCCAATTTTCTCCTCTACCATGTTCTGAGGGGTATGGTCCTAGGTTATATGACCCAACTAGGTAAAAGTTTCTGGTCTTAATCCATAGGCTAGTGGTCCCGCGAGACCCACACCCCTCTCCTCATACTCGGAGGAATACGCCCCTCGGGCCAAATCATAGCTAGCCGTCTCGCATTGTCGCATAGAGAAGGCCTCACCTGTCACTCCCAATCTATCTTATGCTTTAACTACCACCGAGAGGCCAACACCCCGCCACAACGTTCGGTGGCCTCATACGTTCCCGCTTGGCAATTAGTACGGACTCATCTGTCACCATCAATAAGTATAATTGTTTCGCCGCTTGGCGTTTAGCTAGCCTTACCAGTACCCACCCAAATCAAACATTACAGAGTGATTGATTAAAGCTTACTTATATTTTTCAGTTATGTCTAATAATCCTGATATCCCTGAGGAATTCTCGCTACCCTGCACTCCCGCTAGGCCTGGTACCCCTGTTCCTGGAACAGACGTTGCTAGTCCTGCTTCTCTCAGATCATGGACCATCCCACGTCTCACGGCAGAACTTAGAAGATGCTGCATCCCTTTCCCAGCTACTGCTCGGAAAGCTGAATTGTTCAGACTTTTGAATACGGCCACTGACAACGCTGATGCATGGGAAGGCCGTTGTGGCACACAATTGCCAAAATTTCACGCCATGATGACTTCGCTCATGTCATCCATCAGCACAATTAATGACAGGCTGGATAAATTGGAAACAAGTGGTACCAAACAGACCGCTACGAACCTAGTTGCTGCCAGTCACCCTCTGGCTGACATGACTGGTAATTCTTTGGAATCAGGGTCTCTTAGCGAAGATATTAATCCTTCACACATGGTCCCATCTCACCTTAAAAAGGACATTCTGGAAGGCAAGGATGTCAACCTGGTGTCATTGTTTATAGCCTCCCAGGATGTCCTAGAGAATAGGACTTTTGCATATGGGGATATATCTGTTGTACTAAGGTCTAGAGACCTGAGACTAAACAGAAAACTGTCAATCCCTCAATTTGTAATGGGTTTTGGGATTTATTGGGATGTGTACTGCTCAGTATACCCAGGGAAAAGAGCAGAGCTAGATGCATACATGCACAAGATGGTGGACCTGGGGCACAAATACGGTGGTACCGCTTTTTGCAATTACCACCGTTCCTTTTCTGCAAAGGTGGCTGCAGCTCTGGCTCAGTTCAATTTAAGCATTAATTGGAGCAAATTGGACACTGAGTTATTCTGCAGGCCTCCAGCGTGTGCAGTATGCGCATCTACAGCACATCATACAAATCTCTGCCCAAACACAGCTGAGATCGAACAAAACCAATCTACCCCTAACTTTCCTAAAGCTACCAAGGGATTAAAAGAGAAGCTGGGGAGAGACATTGTATTCCTGGGTAAATCTCAGATATGCAATAACTTCAATGCGGGCAATTGTGGTTTTAGTTCCTGTAGACTGATGCATGTATGTTCACACTGTTTTAGAGCCCATGCCAAAACTATGTGCCCAAATAAAGCATTCCCAAAACCGTATCACACGTGTGTGAACGTCGCCTTATTGACATCACTTTTACAGCCACATCCTTCACGTCATTTCACTGAATATATTATTTTGGGCATGACTGAGGGATTTCACACCGGGTTGGTCCATTTACCCTCCGGTACACTGGAATGCAACAACCTACAGTCCACATTAGACGATCCACAGTTGGTAAATACTCTTATCTCAACTGAGTTGGAACAAGGGTTTCTGTTGGGACCATTCTTTTCCCCACCCTTCACGTCTTGGAGAACCAACCCTATAGGGGTGGTCAAAGGGAAGACCTCACTCAAACCCAGACTGATAATTGATTTATCAGCACCACACTCCTCCACTATCCCCAGCTTAAACTCTATAATACCTTCTGTAGAATTTTCACTACATTACGCCACTATGGACCATGCCATAGGGGCCATTCTACAAGCAGGTACGGGAGCATGGCTGAGTAAAACAGACGTGGTAAATGCCTTTTAGCTACTACCCATACATCCTTCCCTGTGGCATCTACACGGTATTAAATGGCAAGGGAGGTATTATTTTTTCACCCGACTAACTTTTGGCTCCAAAAGCAGTCCACGTATTTTTGACATGTTTGCAGAGGCTCTATGTTGGCTCTTACTAAATGTGTGCAAGTGCCCTTCGGTTATCCACCATCTGGACGATTTCCTCTTGATTGAGAATAACTCTTCCACCTAGTAGTTTGAATCACTTATTGGCACTGTTTGAATCTCTTAACATTCCTGTCTCTCCTCACAAAACTTTGGGTCCAGATACCTACATGCAATTTTTGGGTATACAACTAGACACGATAAACATGCAGGCCAGTCTACCTCAGGACAAGATTGAGCGTACCCTGGCAAGTATTGAACATTACCTGCTACAAGGTCATTGCAATCGGAAAGAACTCCAATTACTGCTTGGATCGCTCAATTTTGCCATGAGGATCATACCCCAAGGTAGATCTTTTATATCCTACCTGTTATCCTTGTTTCCACTGTTTTCTTCTGACACTTCACATATCACATTAGATGTACACGCAACTTCTGATTTACGCATGTGGCGGGTCTTTCTCAACTCTTGGAATGGGCGAACCATGTTTATACCACCTTCCTCCGACACATCACCTACATTATGGACAGATGCCGCAGCTAACACAGGCTTTGCCGCCATCTGGGGTGACCAATGGCTTTGAGGCCCTTGGCCGACCGAAGTCGAATCACTACCCAAATTTTCTGACACCTCGGCTTTGAGTTGTACCCAATCGTGGCGGCAGCCTTTGCTTGGGGACCATATTGGTCTGGCCACACGGTCAGTTGCTACTCGGATAACCTGGCTACATGCCACATTGTCAATTAAGGCTGTTCGGCATCACTGGTCATTATGAGACTGCTAAGGCGTCTCACATGGGTAGCAGCCACTTGTCAATTCTTTATAACATGCATACACATCCCGGGGTACACAAACACCGCTGCTGATCACTTGTCTCGGTTTCGTTTCCAGGCTTTCCTCTCGTCACTACCCAAAGCTTCCAGACGAGCAACACCTGCACCTCTATTCCAAGACATGATCATGGATTAAAGACCTTGTTAGATCACGCACGTCACATTTCTCATATGGCACTCTCAGTAAACACTAGGGACACTTATGATAGGGCCTTTCACGTATTCAAAAAATTTATCACCGAGTTTCACATTCACGACATGTTTGCATTAGAGACAATTTTGGGGTTTACCTTTTTTTGCCACATTAACCTTAAACTATCCTTTAATACTATTAAACAGTACTTTACCGGCATCCAACAACCTAACAGTACTGCTTTTCTAACCTCATACCAAATTAAAACATTACTTAAAGGCATTAAAAAATTAAATACACATGTTCCCTCACAAAGACTACCTATAGACAACATCATCTTCCACTCTCTATCCAACCTATTAGATTCATCTCCTTTCGAACCCATGACAAATAGCACTATCAAAACGGCAGTATATCTTGCCTTTTACGGGTTCCTCCGGCCTAGCGAATTCACAACCACAACCATCGCCGCACCTGACTACCTTAGAACCAATGATCTACAGAAACTTACCGACCATTATATTCTCTCTAAGACAATCCAAAACCAGCACCGACGGACACATTATTCAAATACCACTGTACCCTACTCACAATATATGGTGCCCAGTTAAAGTGTTAGACACTTATTCACTTTCAGTCCAAAAACAACCTCAACAGCATTTGTTTGAACTGCATGGACACACTCTGACCACAGCTAAATTCATGCTGTACATAAGACTTCTGTTGACCAGGCTTTGCCTAAACCCCAATAAATTTTCGGGTCACTCTTTCCGTATAGGAGCAGCATCTTCCGCATCCTCTAACCACGTCCCCGCTCATATTATTAAGGCCATGGGGCGCTGGAAATCCTCCGCCTACACACTCTACATACCCAATCCTGTTAAAGAATTAAGACAAGCTTTTTGTGACTTATCTCAATAAACGAAGTTGGTTCACAAATTATGTTTTCTGGTTATTTTCTTTTTGCCCACTTTTATTACTGGCCTACTGCTTTGTCGGTTCCGGCACACCACAACCGACTGGTGCATACTCATGGATGTTATCATTGTATTATGCTAAGATTTCTCTGTTCGGCCATATTGCCCTGACTACAAATAAATAAAAAAAAAAATATATATATATATATATATATATTTTTTTTTTTTATAAAAATTTTATTTTATTTTTTTTTTTTTTTTTTTTTTTTTACTCACTTTTTATGGCCTTTTATTGTGGCAGCCTAAGGCACACCTATGCCATAATCATGCTGTCTAATCAGCATCTCGATATGCCACACCTGTGAGGTGGATGGATTATCTCGACAAGAGGAGTGCTCACTAACACAGATTGTGAACAATATTTGAGAGAAATAGGCCTTTTGTGTTCATAGAAAGTCTTAAGATATTTGAGGTCAGCTCATGAAAAATGGGGGCAAAAACAAGTGTTGTGTTTATAATTTTGTTTGTGTGTAAAAATAAAAAGATAAAATTCGTATCTTGTAATACCTTTTTTATTGGACCACCGGAATTTTTTAATGACAAGCTTTCGGGAGAATCTCCCTTTCTCAAGTCTGAAGCATTTCTGAGCAAGACGACACATAGAATTCAAAGTTGAGTTGTGATACAGGGGTTAAAGCGACATGAGTGCAAATAAGATACACTATTTTTGCAGAGGGTCATAAATATCTTTCTGAAGAGCAATCTTTCAGACAACCACCAAACCTCCAACAAAAATGAATCAACAGGAAGCTGCTCACTGATGGTAAGAATAAAGAAAATGGGACCAGTCAATGCAAAAAATCCTCGCTGCAAACTGTCAGCACATATGCAGTCAACACAGCCATACAACCATAAAACCTACAGCATTAAAGGTTCATACTCCTGCACATCCACCAACGTGGTATACATAATTCAGTGCACCAAATGCCACTTAGGATGCTACATTGGGGAAACCACCCAGTCATTAAATGGCAGAATGAATATGCACAGACACTCTATTAAACACCACAAAGAAGAATCTTAGGGCACTCCTGTGGGACACCACTTTACACAGCCTGGCCACTCACTGAAGGACCTTAAAATCAAAGTACTGAAAGGGGGTTTTAAAAATACCCAAGAAAGAAAGTTTGAAGCCAGAATGATCAAATGGTTTAACAGCAAGAATAGAGGACTAAATATTGATTTGGGTTTCCTGTCCCACTACCAACACTTTACATCAACACTCACCCAGCATTATCTTACTGTTCTGTCATATGTATCAACACTTTAAAACGCATTCCAATATGTTTTTGCTATCAATATACAAAGTACTATGTGCAGACCTATGCTTTCCCATACTCTTATTCCTGTATGCTTATATATATATATATATATATATATATATCTGTGCATTTATATTTGTGTATGAGTTTATGTATGTTCATGTGTTTGTGCGTGCGCATATACATATTTATGTGTGTATGTACAAAGTGTACCATCTTCTGCACTGTCTGCTTGTTTGTTTTTTCTTCTCACTCTGCTCTTCAGAAAGATATTTATGAACCTCTGCAAAAATGGTGTCTATTTTCTAACAAACCTGTGGTCTGGGTGCCTATAGTGGTCCTCTAATTTTAACTTTACTTCTAGGGTTAGAATACGAATTGAGAGAGGCTGATTTAGTTCCTAACCCTAATTTTAGTCCAAGAATCTTGGTCTTTCTTCTTAATATCTTGATATTTCCAATAAAGCAATTGACAATAACACGAAATTGCTGCAAACCACACCATTCCATTCCATGGTGTGGTTTGCAGCAATTTCATGTTATTGTCAATTGCTTTATTGAAAATATCAAGATATTAAGAAGAAAGACCAAGATTCTGGCTGCAAAAGGGTCTGGACAACCCCCGAATGGTCCAAGGAAGCATACTAAGAGAGTCATATGATGGTATGACTCCAACTTTGTGAGTGAAACCACTATTTATTCTTTTCTTGTATACTATTGGACAGACATACTACGCTATTTTGTATATATACCAGTGTTTTACAGATCATTCAAGGTTTAAGCAGCTCCGCCTATCACTTTGTATGTATTTTCATGCAAACACTGTTTGATTCAGAGAAAGGGCAGTGTTTACATCAAAGCTTAGGGACGCCTTCAGTGGCAACTCCTCGGATGGCCACTGGAGGTTTTTCATGAGGAGACGCTGAACTTTCCTCATAGAGATGCATTGATTAAATGCATATCTGAGGATATGCTGATTTGCCTGGCTGGTGTTTGAGCCCTCCTTCTTGGCAATCTCAGCCAATCTAAAGCTTTACCTATGGGAAGGCATTGGATTGGCTGAATCATAAATTCTGATGTCAGCCAAAAAGGCAGATCGGGGCAGAGACGTTAACTGCGATCCGCACGGTGCTGGAAAAAGGTCGGTTTAACCCTTTTAATAGGGAGGCAAGCAACCTAAATTGTGGCTATAACACTATCTGGTCAGAAATACGTTTGTGTTCCTTTAACTATAGGAGTTAAGTTGTCAAAACTGGGTCAATGAGCTTTAAAGGGACACTCCAGGCACCCAGACCACTTCTGCTCATTGTAGTGGTCTGGGTGCCAACTCCCACTACCTTTAACTCTGAAACTGTAAATAGTGCAGTTTTCATAAACTGCAATATTTACCTTGCAGGGTTAACTCCTCCTCTAGTGGCTGTATACTGGACATTCGGTCTCACGCGGCCGTGCATGCGCAATCCGTCTCCCCACCAGATGACATCGGCGAGGGAGGAGCGTGCGCGGACCATAGACCAGCGTCAAGGGACATCGGTGCTGGACTCCGGTAAGTCACTGGGGGGTTTAAACCTGGGATGGGTGGTGGGATGGAGAGGGCACCTGCAGTGCCAGGAAAACGGTTTGTTTTCCTGGCACTGGAGTGTCCTTTTAAGCATTGTTCTTTTTCAATTACCAATACAATTTAGCCACAATCCATCAGTAAAATCAATCTTGGACGAGTAGACCGCAAACCTCAAAGACAGAGTAGAACAAAATGGCTGTTCTATGCCGCCCCGCTTTAATTGGGCTTTAAAGCCGTTGTGGCCGCATAGCAATCCGTAACTGCTTTGAGCCCTGGAGCTCCCGGTATACTCACCTTACCGTCGCTCCGCTTTGGGAGGACTGCATGACAGCCATGCCAGCCCTCCCACGGCAAATATGTCCCCCTATAGCTGGTTGTGGATCTGCCAGCAAGAGGGACTGTCTGACATGTCAGACAGTCCCCCTGCTGGTAGGAAATGGGAAAAAAAAATTAGACGTGTAAAATAAAATAAATATTTATAAATATGTAATATATGTATATATTATATATATGTAACGTCATACATAGTGTATTTTAATATTAATATAAGCACATATATTAGTATTAAAATACACTCAGAATGACGTTACATATGTGTGTGTATATGTATGTATGTGTGTATATATTATATGCACGTATAATTACAATTATAAATAAAATAAGATATTGAAAAAATTTTTTATATAAATTATTTATTCATGTCATTTCATTCTAACTGTATTTTGTTAATATATATAAATGTAACAAAATACACTTAGAATGACATTCTATATCTATATATAAAATACAAATAACCGCATATATATATAAAAAATTACATTAGTATACACGTAGAATTTAAATACCTATAAATGCATATATATTAAAATTCTACGTGTATATTTAAGTAATCTTTTAACATAATTATGTAATTTGATTAATTAAAATTTGACTGACATGCCTGACAACACAGGGAGAAAGTGCAGAGAATTTAATTTGCAAGCACTATATTTGACCCTGTAACTCTCCAAGACACCAAACAACCTGTACATAGGGGGTACTGGTTTACTCGGGAGACTTCGTTGAACTCAAATATTAGTGTTTCAAACTGGTAAATTTTATTACAACGATGATATTTTAAATAAAAGTGAAGTTTTTTGCATTTTTTACAAACAAACGGCACTTTTATGGACTATATTATTGTTGTAATATGTTTTACTGTTTTAAAACACTAATATTTGTGTTTAGTGAAGTCTCCCGAGAATAACAGTACCCCCCATGTACAGGTTTTATGGTGTTTTGGAAAGTTAGAGTCACATATAAGGCTTGCATTTCATTTTTTTTTTTTTTTACATTGAAATTTGCCAGATTGGTTATGTTGCCTTTGAGAGCGTATGGTAGCCCAGGAATGAGAATTACCCCCGTGATGGCATACCATTTGCAAAAGTAGATAACCCAAGGTATTGCAAGTGGGGTATGTCTAGTCTTTCTTAGTAGCCACTTAGTCACAAACACTGGCCAAATATTAGTTTTTTGCAAATATGAACGCTAACTTTGGCCAGTGTTTGTGACTAAGTGGCTATTAAAGACTAAACATACCCCACTTTCAATACCTTGGGTTGTCTACTTTTTCAAATGGTATGCCATTATGGGGGTAATTCTCATTCTTGGGCTACCACACCATCTCAAAGGTAACATAGAAACATAGAATGTGACGGCAGATAAGAACCATTCGGGCCATCCAGTCTGCCCAATTTTCTAAATACTTTCATTAGTCCCTAGCCTTATCTTATAGTTCGGATAGCCTTATGCCTATCCCACGCATGCTTAAACTCCTTTACTGTGTTAACCTCTACCATTTCAGCTGGAAGGCTATTCCATGCATCCACTACCCTCTCAGTAAAGTAATACTTCCTGATATTATTTTTAAACCTTTGTCCCTCTAATTTAAGACTATGTCCTCTTGTTGTGGTAGTTTTTCTTCTTTTAAATATAGTCTCCTCCTTTACTGTGTTGATTCCCTTTATGTATTTAAATGTTTCTATCATATCCCCCCTGTCTCGTCTTTCCTCCAAGCTATACATGTTAAGATCCTTTAACCTTTCCTGGTAAGTTTTATCCCACAATCCATGAACCAGTTTAGTAGCCCTTCTCTGAACTCTAAGGTATCAATATCCTTCTGAAGATATGGTCTCCAGTACTGTGTACAATACTCCAAGTGAGGTCTCACCAGTGTTCTGTACAATGGCATGAGCACTTCCCTCTTTCTACTAATACCTCTCCCTATACAAGCATTCTGCTAGCATTTCCTGCTGCTCTATTACATTGCCTGCCTACCTTTAAGTCATCAGAAATAATTACCCCTAAATCCCTTTCCTCATATGTTGAGATTAGGACTCTATCAAATATTCTGTACTCTGCCCTTGGGTTTTTACGTCCAAGATGCATTATCTTGCACTTATCCACATTAAATGTCAGTTGCCACAATTCTGACCATTTTTCTAGTTTACCTAAATCATTTGTCATTTGGCTTATCCCTCCTGGAACATCAACCCTGTTACATATCTTAGTATCATCAGCAAAAAGACATACCTTACCATCAAGACCTTCTGCAATATCACTAATAAAAATATTAAAGAGAATGGGTCCAAGTACAGATCCCTGAGGTACCCCACTGGTGACAAGTCCAAGCTTCAAATATATTCCATTAACTACAACCCTCTGTTGCCTGTCACTCAGCCACTGCCTTACCCATTCAACAATTTATTGATAAGCTTTCTATGTGCAACAGTGTCAAAAGCCTTACTGAAATCTAGGTAAGCAATGTCTACTGCACCACCCTGATCTATAATTTTAGTTACCCAATCAAAAAAATCAATAAGATTAGTTTGGCATGATCTCCCTGAAGTAAACCCATGTTGTCTCTGATCTTGAAATCCATGTGTTTTTAGATGTTCATCAATCCTATCCTTTAACATGGTTTCCATCACTTTCCCCACTACTGAAGTAAGGCTTACTGGCCTATAGTTGCCCGACTCCTCCCTATTACCTTTCTTGTGAATGGGCACAACATTCGCTAACTTCCAATCTTCTGGTACTACTCCTGTTAACAATGATTGGTTAAATAAATCTGTTAATGGTTTTGCTAGTACACCACTAAGCTCTTTTAAAAGCTTTGGGTGTATTCCATCAGGTCCCATTGACTTATTTGTCTTTACTTTTGACAGTTGAAATAGAACCTCTTCCTCTGTAAACTCACGTGTAATAAATGACTCATTTATCTTTTTTCTCAACTGAGGTCCCTTTCCTTCATTACTAATCTGGCAAATTTCAATTTGAAAATGGAATGTTCTATATTTGACCCTGTAACTTTCCAAAACACCATAAAACCTGTTAATGGGAGGTACTGTTGTACTCGTGAGACATCGCTGATTACAAATGTGCATTTTTTTTGCAGTAAAATCTAACAGTATTATGACATTCACAGCTATAATGTCAGATAGAAATACAAATTTAAAAATCTAATTTTATTTTCTCATTTTTTTTATTTTATTCATAATAAATTATGTTCCATATATGAATAGTTAATGATAAATTAAAGCCCTGTTTCTCCTGAACAAAATTATATATAAGTGTGGGGGCACTTAATGTGACAGCGGTGAATTACGGTTGAACAGACATATAGCGCAAATTCCAGTTTTTGTTTACGTTTTGTTTTGATCAGAACGTGGGCTATTGACTCCGTCCTGAAGGGGTTTAGATTAAGCACAAGGAAAAAAAAACTTTTATATTATTGGTGCTATTCCCTTGTCTTTACCTTAAGTAATATAAATTGGTGGGGGTGGGGGAGTTGGAAGAGCTATGGATACTTTAACTCCTTAATGGCATAGAATTGAACAGTGAAGTTGCAGGGGCATAATCTATACATCATGACAGCTTAATGGCTGGAGAAATTCACTCATGACCTATACCGCATATTTTTAGTTTAGCACCCTTATTTTCATTGAAAGTATATGTAGACTGATAAACCTGTATTAAAGATCTTGAAAAATATTAGTGTTTGTAATCTATAGAACAATCCATTTCTAATCCGTAGAATAAGTTTCCAGGTCAGTAATTCAATTTTTTTTTTTTTTCTTTTCTCTAAACAGTTAAATAGAGTTAAAATGGTAGAGAAAGAAAAAGATGCATTAGAAGGAGAGAAAAACAATGCCATTGAATTCCTGACACTAGAGAATGAAACTTTCAAGAAGAAGAATCAGATCTGTCAATATTATATGTAAGTAAATGCTTTCGTTTATGGAAAATGTGGTATTGCACAATCATTTTCTAGACCAGGGGTTCTCAACCCAGTCCTCAAGGACCCCCCTACCAGTCCAGGATTTAGGGATTACTTGGGTGTGTTTTATTTATTTTTTTTACTATACATTTTAGACACACCCAGGTAATCCCTAAATCCTGTACTGGTCCAGGGGGTCCTTGACTGGTTTTAGAACCCCTGCTGTAGACCACTTCAGCGCTTTCACTAAAGTCTGCTACATAATGTTATTACCATAGGCTGAATTTTCATATTTCCCATTGCTTCGATCCTCTCATTGCACAGCATGATATATAGGAACACTTGGATAATAAGTGAAATGTAATAATGATGCTCCATGCACACACTCTAGGGCTGAACTTTGGGTGCTAGCAAACCAAAGTGGGTTTTTTTTGTTTTGTTTTTCTGCAAGTCGCTTGCAACAAAATCCTTCTATTCAGAGGTCCTTTGTTTATATGATGCTTTATAGTGGATTGACAAATTCTTGGTGTTTTTACGGTTTTAATATTTGGCATTAAATGGAAACCAAACCATTAAAATTATGAAATGTAAATTCTGTTTTTTGTTAGACTTGATTTGCAAAAGCGTAGTCAAGATATGGAGGCACAAAAAGAAAAGATTCAAGAAGATACAAAGGAAACAAATGAGAAAAGTAAATTACTTGCTGAAGAAATGAAAGTGAAGAATAAGGCTTTGAAAGATGTGGAAACGTATGTGTCAGATTCATTTTGAAATCTTTTTATATTCTTGCATGTATTTTCCACTTCTGTTTTGCTCTATCTTACTTTGTAATATCTCTTGAAGGGAACTAAATAAAATTACAAAATATATTGAAGAAAACAGAGAAAAATTTACACAGTTAGACTTACAAGATGTGGATGTTCGTGAAAAATTGAAACATGCAAAAAGCAAAGTAAAAAAACTTCAAAAACAACTTCAGAAGGACAAAGAGAAGGTATAGTTTTTTGTAAATACAGTATTTCAGAATGTTTAGTGATGTCTAGCAATCATTTCCTTAAGTTTTTTTTTGTTTTGTTTTTTTAACCTGTGGTTTTATTTGTTAGGTGGAAGAATTAAAATGTGTGCCTGCAAACAGTCAGAAAATTATTGCAGAAGCAACAAGTAGAAAAGAAGTACTGGAAAAAGATAAAGACAAGGAAGAAGAAAAATTAAAAGCAGTCATGGATAGCCTTAAAAAAGAAACACAAGGCTTACAAGAAGAAAAAGAGGTACTTACATTTTTCATTCATTTCTTGTGTGTTTGTACACAAACCAGTTGCGTTATGGTGGGTTGAAGTGATTGAAAAACCCTTTAACCTTAAGTCAGTGTATAGTAAATACATTGTTAAACACAGATCTGCACACACTAGTACAGCCATAGGACTTGCTCTTCCCCAAAGTAACATCCCATTTTCTGTGCTGTTACCACCGCAAGGGATTCTAGGTGGGCATCCTTTACTCCACTTTATACATGGATTCCGTGGAGTATGTCTGCTGTATATAAAAACTTTCAAACCTAGCTCAAGAAGCAAAGCCAGATTACCACTCATGGATGACAGTTTTGTAGGTAAAGCAATTTGTCAGTCTGGGGCTGGTTACTGGCTTGCTTAAGTTATGTATGTTAACTATCTGAATTAACACTTTGAAGTATTACAGGATTATTTACCAAAGTGAATTTCAAATTTAAGGCCAGGGTAGCTGGATTGGAACTATAGCTGACTTTTTCCAGTTTGGTTATTTTTTACCTAAAATTAAAAATTCTGTTTGAATACTGCTTAATTTCTCATTGTAGTCCATAATCCTGTTTATTTTCATACAATAAAAATCTAGCAGAAAAGTAGGAGCTGGGAATATGCTTCCATACACATAACATAGGCTTTAATAACTTTGGTTCATAACACACTATATGATAAGGTGTGCAAAAATCTCTAGAATAATCATGCGTTATTTCTTTAGAATCTCAGGATGGAAGTGTGGAAAATTTACATTTGTGTAAATAGCATTATATACTAAAAAATGTGCCCTAAATTAAAGCATAACTTTTTTTTTATTAGTAATGTTAAAATGGTACTAAGGAAGGATATGTTTGTAATTAAAACATAACTTATATTGACTTGTCCAAAAAGTACTGTAGACAAAGTGCTAAAATGAAATGTCCTTTTTACTAGTGCAACAAGTTACCAACACAGCCTTTAAATACTGGCAAATTGTGCCCTTCCATGACTCTGCTATTGCCAAACTTCATATTTCATACTAACTTATATGATGTTTATACTAGCTCACCTCACTCTTTCATGTTGATAGTATGGCTTTGGCATAATGATTATTAGTTTCCTTTGGCTTTTTGCCAAATTCGCCCTTCATTAACAAGATACAAAATGATAGCGATGACACTGAATGTTCCTAGAGACATTGTTGGAAGCATAGTTCGTAAGTTCAAAGTTGATGGAACAGTGGTTACACTATCTGAAAAGGTCAGAGAAAAGAAGCTTTCAGTGGCTGTAACCATCATGGTTACCTACATCATGGGGAGGGCAAGATGGATTCCTTAAAGTATTAGGAAATCCTAGGAGAAAATGCCGTACAGTCTGAGTATGGACCTTCCAACAAGGCAATGATCCCACGCGTACCTCAAATTCCACCAAGGTTTGGTTGCAGAAGAAGTCCTGAACAATTCTACAGTGGCCATCAGTTACCCTATTTGATCCTCATGGAACATATCTGGGATTTGAAGAAGGCGGTTGCAGCATGCAAACACAATGTTTCTGAACTGGAGGCCATTGCTCATGAGCAATGGGCTAAGCATCCTTAGGAATGTTTCCAAACGCTGGTGTCTCACTATGCATCTCGTTTGCAGCAGGGCATAACCGCAAAAGGGTACTCTACCAAGTATAAAAGATGCTTCCCATCAAGGGGTTGAATAATTGTGAGACTTGATAAGTCATTAGAGATTGCATTTTCAGTTGAATTTAAAGAAACCACTTGAGGCAATCGTTGCTGAGCTATTTCAGTTGCTTTTCTTTGATTTGTTGTTTGACGATAGCTGAATGTCTGGAAATATATGATAAACCTGGTTTTCAGTGGGAGTTAAATCATTTTCATTACAACTGTACATCTTATCTCTCATTGGAATTTTGTCCCACTACTGCCCTTAATATTGGTTTTGGTGAGAATAGTCTTCTCTGATTAAAATTATTCATTTGTTAACCTTTTTATCACCATATAATTACATGTTGCAACTGTATCCTAGGTGCCTGCCATGATATTGCACTTTTAATTTTTTTTGAAGAAGAAGAACCTAGTCTCTATAGTAGTTTGCAGCTGGTATGGTTTTTGTTTATGCAGTTAGTAATTTGTTTGCACTAGTAAGGACAACTATCCTTCCCTTAGTACCATTTTAACAATATTAATAAGCTGTTTTTAACTGAGGACACATTTTATTGGAATCAACCGGTTTGCTTTTTTTTTTTGTCATTTCTATGTCAGGGAGTTATTCCCTACTAATATAAAAAAAAGAGGGGGGCGATAGATACAGTGCTAACTCTACAGGCAGCAGGTCTGTAGTATGGATACCCTAACAATCCAAAATGATGGGACAAAAAATGGAAAAGGGAAACATGCTGCCCTCCCCACCCCCCCACAGAAAAATGTTGACTAAGGTGTTTGAACACACTATATCGATGTTTAATAGCTTAAATAAGAATATGGTATAAAAGTTCAGATGAGAAATTCTGCATGGTATAAATATAAAATCTGCTGGAAATAGTATTCTTGGAGGTCAATCTGTTGTCCTCCTTCCTGAAAAAATAATCAGGTCTTTTAGTAGAGATGAGAAAAACAAAGACATAGTTTTTTGATAGAAAAACAAAGACACCTATAGTGTCCTAGATAATGTAATGATAAAGGTACACTCACAAGAAGGGAGCACTGTTCACTTTTTCCATTTTTGTTTATTCCTTAATACGGTTTTCCTGGAACTCTATTCGATCAACTGCAAAAAAACAGATGTGTGGAAGACTAAACTTGATGGACATTTGTCTCTTTTTAGTCTATTGAACTATGTAACTTTTGGATTGCTCCATAGTTTACTTCATTGTGTTGATGCTGTTTCAGTTGGCTACAATCTGAACACAACAAAATTCACCACATTTTAACTTTGTATTGATTTTTTTTTTTTTTTATGTAAGGGTAAAGAGAAAGAATTGATGGAACTAAGCAAGGCTGTGAATGAAACTCGTTCAAAGATGGATGTGGCCCAGTCAGAGTTGGATATATATCTGAGTCGCCACAACACAGCAGTTGCACAACTTAACAAAGCTAAAGAGGCTTTAAATGTTGCTTCTGCAACTCTAAAAGAAAGAACAGCTGCCATAAAAGAGTTGGAGACAAAATTACCCAAATCTCTTGAAGACCTTAAGAAGGTGAATTTAATTCTCAATTTAATAATTTTTCTTCTGCTTCTCCTATGTTTAAGCTTTAAAGGTGCTACCATGACCCAAACCCACCAATTTATTACAGGCAGACATTGGGATGACAGCATAACGGATTAGATGTGGGCATTTAAATGCAGTTTTCATATAACTTTGTTGGCACAAAAACGTTCAAATTCCCAGAGAGTTGAAAACCTAGAAATAGTGTCAGTAGAAAGTATTGTATGCTCAAAAATTAGATTGATTTATGCTAGAATTCTTAAACCTGCTCTATGGAGGTATAGAATTGACATCTCCATATCCGTTTCTACTTTTTCCTGGCCAGCTTCTACTTATTAAAGTACCTGTTAAAGGACTCAACCAATTCTGGTCAAGTCTAGCATGAGAATCTGCGTTCCTAATGATGACTGGGAATTTAAAAGATAACTTCACACCTCCTCAAGTGGGTGGACAGTCTCTGGAGCGGAGAGCAACTTTTTTTTGTGTTCCGCTGGCTGTCCTGCCCGACAATCTTGACAGTACTGAGAGGAAGTTATATAATTGCACATACTTCCAACACTGAATCATGGAACAAGGAAGCTCATTGTAACGGATCACCTGGCACACCGACTGGGTACCTCCGTTGATGGATGCTCCTAGCGCTTCCTGAGGGCTCCAAGCACTCCAGCTGACCCTATAACCACCGTAGACTCCTCCAGAGAGCAAGGCAGGAACAAGCTCTTACAAGAGCTTAGTAGTGATTTAGCAAGGGAGTATGACAAGCCTAGCAATCCCTTGTAGCAGATTCCCCCAATAAGAGATGGCACTCCAAATTGAAGGTGAAGTAGAACTGAACTTTTAATCCAACACTCTGCTTTTATGCCCATTTTACACATCTAGTACCGCCCACAGGGTTTTGTAAAACTAATAATAAAATATGTACATTACAATAAAACACTCCAAGCAATTACACACAAACCCTCCCCTCTGCCTGTGAGATAATTACTGAACACAATGGGTTAATGTAATTATCACAGGCAGGAAAAATACACTTTTTACACATACACTGTAACTTTAAAAATATACATTCAATCTTCCTAAAAATTACATATTCGAACTCACACTTTAATTGCAAACATATCCAAAATTCCATCCAGGGGTTAAAAAGTTAGCTGGAAGTCCTTTATGACTTACCACAAGCACATTTTCATGCCCAAAACCGTTCCAGAGAATAAGTCAGTTGGTACCAATAAATCAGTAAATACATTTGTGTGTGTGTGTGTGTGTGTGTATACATACACACACACATATGCTCTTTCTCCCTCCCTCCTCTTTATAAATCGCTGGTAAGATCACACTTTGAATATACTGTGCAATTTTGGGCACCTGTTCTAAAGAAGGATATCATGGCACTAGGAAAAAGTGCAGAGACGAGCTACAAAATTGATACAAGAAATGTAGCATTTTAGTTAAAAATTTCTTCCCCAAACTACATATAATCTCAGTGTATTATATTTAGGCAATGAACACATTGCATGTTCAAGAAAGCTTAGAGGAGAAAAGGAAGAAAACAAAGCATACCAGGCTACCGTGTAACTATAAAACTGCTACATAATTGTGTATAACTTTATAGAGAAAGTGCAATGACAGGGATTATGTGTTAGTGCCTAGCCAAAGCAGTACTGATCTTTTATGTATTTGGTGTTTCTCCCCCACTTTGAAGGAACAGTCCTTGAGGGGTGAAACCGTTTGTAAACAGTTTAACCCTAAAGTTGCACAAAGACCATGACATTCAAACTGTCGCTCACATTTTGGATCATTTTTGTCTATGGTTTCAGTGAGGCTACCTATTCATACCTACATAAGGTATGTACATACTGACCTAAATCTGTTTAGAAGAGGAATGTAAGAATAGCAGTCTTGCTTAGTGTTATAGAGGAAATCTAAAACAGAGTGTTAAAATTAACTAAATCTAAGCTTCTGGGTGTTTTGGAACTTAAAGCAATTTAACCTAAATAAATGGTTTTCAATGGACAAACTCATATTAGTGCATTTAAAAATCGACATAAGCAGGAAAAAAAAAAAACCTTGTTTGAATTTCGTGTGTAACTCCTTTAGGTAAGACCACACCTAGGACCTTGTGCCATAGCATTTTTATTGAGATGAATGTTTGGTTCCCACAGTGTCCTTTTAATATTTTTGCTGTTCGAGGGAAAAAGAATATTAAAATATTTTTTTATAAGTTACTTAGCCTTTTTACTAAACTGTGTTTAACCAAGCAATGATTCCTCTTTTTATTATATAGAAAGAAAGTGAATATGAATCATTAGTGCATGAAGAAAATAATATAAAGAGCCAAGTTCGAGATCTACGGCAGAAGGTAGAAGAAGCAAAGAGTTCTTTATCTGCCAACCAAAGCAGGGGAAAGGTTCTTGATGCTCTGATTCAACAGAAGAAATCTGGAAAAATTCCTGGTATTTATGGAAGATTGGTAAGGTTTAAAAAATACTTTAGAATGTGAAAGTCCCATTTTAAAGGGTAAAGCAATAAAAATAATTTTTTTTTTTTTTTCAATTCTTTTTATTAGATTTTTTTCATGAAAATATTAATTGACATAACATCTAGGGGAAGGAACCTTACAGAAAAAAATTAAGGACTCCTATCCCCATTAAGCATACAAAGGTATATTATTCTATTTCAAATTACATCAATAAGCCGTCTAGTACACAATAATATAGTAACATTAACCCCTTCAGGACGGGTGACGGACGAGGTCTGTCACAGAGGGGAGACCCTTAACGACGGGTGATGGACCTCGTCCGTCACGCGGTAAAATTAACCCCGGATCGCGGGGTTAATGGTGCTCCGGTATGCCTCTGCATTAGAGGCATACCGGGAGCACCCGGTCAGGCTGCCCAGCACATGTGCTCGCTCTGACCGCAAGTCAGAGCGAGCACATGTGCTCTGTATACTCACCTACCGGCTCCCTGCACTTCCGGGTTCTGTGTGAAGTGCAGGGAGCCGGATCAGTGCTGATCCTGCCCCCTGCTGTTAAAAAAAAAAAAAGTTAATTTAAAGTCCCCCCCCATTACCCATTTTAATAAAAAATTAACCCCTTCCCTGCCAATTGATCACTGACTACAGTGATCAATTGGCAGGGATTACATTTTACTATGATCTGATTTTTTTTTAACCCTGAGGGTTAATTCTTTTTTTTTTTAACCCTCAGGGGTTAAATTTATTTAATTAAAATATTTTAAAATTATATATTTAGCTAGCTGGGGTGGGTGGAAGTTAGTGGGGAATTGGGGGATTTGGCGTTAGGCTAACTAGGGGTTAACGTTAAAAGTTTTAAAATAAACTTTAAAAAGTTAAAAATTAAGCTTCAAAAAATGTTTTAATAAATAAATAAGTAAAAAAAACAAAAAACCTTTACCTAGTCCAAATAAAAATTAACCCCTTCCCTGCCAGTCGATCACTGCCTACAGCGATCAAATAGAGATCACAGTATTATACTGTGATCTAATTTTTTTTTTAACCCCTGAGGATTAACACTTTTATTTATTTTTTAACCCTCAGGGGTTCAATTTATTTAATTAATTTAAATATTTTATAACTATGTATTTTGCTAGCTGGGGTGGGTGAGAGTTATGGGAAAATGGGGAATTTACTGTTGGTGCTGCGTACTGCTAGTTAGGGGTTAACAGTAAAAAGAAATAAAGCTTAGAAAAATGTTAAATCTGTAAAAAAAAAAGTTTTAAGAAAGTTTAGGAAAGTTTAAAAAAATTAATACACAAAACAAAAGTTTAAAAACTAGTTTTTAAAAGTAAAAAAGTTTTATAAAAAGTAAAAAAATACATTTTAAAAACGCTCATTACCACTACACCTGGAACAAACTAGAGAAAAAATTATCCCACGCTATGGTTCAAAATATGCCTTTTGAATCACCCCAGGGTGTATTCTTTAATAAATAGTATGTGTTTGTGGGGAAGTTTCAATAACCAACCGTCTAAACTACTCCAAATTGGAACATGGACACAGCGTAAAACTTCAAAGTTAGAAAAAAACTGAATGGCTGCGTCTCAAATGCGCCCCTTCAACATCCACACATACCTGGCAAAGGTACATACAGGGGTATTGCTGTACTCAGCTGACATAGCTGAGCAACATATGAAGTATTATACAGTCATAGCACACATAAGGTTTGCAAAATATGCTGCGCAAACTCACTTTGTATGTCAAAAAGGCAGAAAAATGCTTATTACCACTACACTTGGTACAAGCTAGCGGAAAAATGATCCCACGCTAAGGTTCAAAATATGCCTTTTGAAATACCCTGGGATGTCTTCTTTAAGAAATGGTATGGCTTTATGGGGAATTTGGATTATATAGCCTGGTAAAATACTCTAAAATGGGACATAGGCACAGCATAAAAATTCAAAGTTTGAAAAAAAAACTGGAATGGCTGTGTCCCAAATGTGCCCCTCCGATGTCCACACATACCTGGCAAAGGTACATACGGGGGTATTGCTGTACTCAGCCGACATAGCTGAGCAACATATGAAGTATTATACAGTCGTAGCACACATAAGGTTTGCAAAATATACTGTGCAAACTCACTTTGTATGTCAAAAAGGCAGAAAAAACGCTTATTACCACTACATCTGGTACAAGCTAGCGGAAAAATGATCCCACGCTAAGGTTCAAACTATACCTTTTGAAACACCCTGGGGTGTCTACTTTAAGAAATGGTAGGCCTTTGTGGGGTAGTTTGAATTTAAAACCTGCGAAGATGCTTGGAAATTGCACATAGGCCCAGCGTCAAAATTCAAAGTTTGGTAAAAACGGATATGGCTTGGTCTCCTATATGGCACTGTAGCTTCACGAAATAGTGCCAAAGACATTCATTGGGGGTGTCTTTTTACTCAGACTTAGCTGAGCATAATTTGGGAGGTTTGAACTTAGTGGCACATATGACAATATACAAAACGCCCAGCAAAAATGCAATCCGTATGTAAAAAAATGCACAAAATTATTTTTTGCCACATACTTTGGCATATATTGGTGAAAAAAATGGGGGCATGTTAAGGCACAATATGCACCTTATGAGATACCCTGGAGTGTCTACTTTTACAAATGGTAGGCCTTTGTGGGGGGTTTTTGAACAGTCAAACTATCATAATACCCCAAATGGAAGCTAAGGCTAATTCTACTGTGAATACTGAAAAGGACAGGTATCCTGTGTGGCACTATAACTTCACAAAATAGTGGCAAAGACATACAATGGGGGTGTCGTTTTACTCAGCAGATGTAACTGAACACAAAATAAAACTTTGTACAGGAATAGCACACACCAGCTTTACAAAATATACACGAGAATTTCTTTGTTATAAGTTTGTGTGCCAAAAACCAAAAAAAACACAATTTTACTCCAATATTTAGCAGAGGTTGGCGGTGAAATGGCTACGTAGAAAGTGTCAAAACAACCTTAGGTAAATAGCCCGTGATGTCTACTTTATATAAATATATACTTTTGTGTAGCAATTTTGTTTTCTTTTATGGCTATTAGGCTTACAAGACAAACATACCAAATTCTAAAATCGCTCCACATTAAAAGTCTATTTTACTCCTTGTGCTTTGTGACCTGTAACTACCAAAAAAAACTTAAAATCCCAGACACATTGTATATTCTGTAAATCAGAACAACTAAATTAATTTATTTTTAATTACTTTTCTTAACCTGCACTAATTATGCACACATTATTGCAAAAACTGTAAAAAAAACAAACACAATTTTCATTTTTTTTTACATTTTTCTGTATTTTTTTTTTTTTATAATAAATAAGCATTTATATATATGTGTGTTACATCAAATTAAAGCCCTTTCTGTCCTTTAAAAAACGATGTATAATATGTGTTGGTGCAACAAATTAGTAAAATGCAAATTGCAGTTGAACGCAAACAGCAAAAAATTAAAAAAATGCCGTTGTCATTAAGTGAAAGACAAGCTTTTGAAGCTCTGTCCTTAAGGGGTTAAAGTCAATATATATGACCAGTTTTGTCTTTGTTTTTGTCTGTCTTATTTTTAAGGTTTTTAAGGCCAATTTTGGACCATGATATCCCCTCGATGAGACTTTTAGGAATTATATAGGCTTTAATAGTCCACCTGGAGATTTCATGCACTCTCCATTCTTTTAATAACATATTAGTCTCTTTTAACAGCTTAAAAAAATTGATTTCCATAGTCCATCTTATATCTGCAGTTATAATTACCCCCAAATATATAAAAAAATTTTTTGTCCATTTAAAGTCAAAATCTTTCTTTAGGGAAAATATAATATCTTTATGAATATTAATCGGCATAGCTCTTGTTTTATTCGTGTTCAGATTATAATTTGAAACACTACTATAGTTGTTAAATTCTTACATTAAACGAGGAAGAGAAACCAGGGGATCCGTAATAGAAATTAAGATATCGTCAGCATATAAACATCTTCCATTCATCAAGTTGAGTTCCTAATCCTTTAATCCCTACATTTTGTCTAATATTATTTGCTAGTGGTTCAATTGATAAGACGTATAATAAAGGTGAGAGAGGACACCCCTGTATCGTCCCATTGTTAATATAGAACCAATCTGAGTATAGATAACGGGCTACTATACGGGCAGAGGGATTCGAATATATAGCTCCCACCGCATTCAAGAACCATCTGTCAAAACCGAATTGTAATAAAGTTCTTTTCAGATATCCCCATCCGACCCTGTCGAAGGCTTTTTCTGCGTCCACCGACAGGCTCAGAAGGGGGGTTCCCTCAACTTGAGCCCATTCTATAATGTCCAAAACCCTACGGGTGTTATTTGAGGAGTGTCTTCCCTGCATAAAACCTATCTGGTCCCTATGTATAAGTGATGGCAAAACTGTTTTCAAACGTTCCGCTAAAATTGCGGCATAAAGTTTCATATCCACATTAACCAGAGAAATAGGACGATAATTACTCACATCATCTGGGCTTTTGCCCTGTTTCAAAATTGGAATAATATGAGCCCTTAATAAATCTTGAGATGCATTCCCTTTGATTGCCAATTCGTTCAAGGTATCAGTTAACAACGGTATTAATTGTCTCTTAAAAACCTTAAAAAACAAATTTGTATACCCATCCGGTCCAGGAGCTTTACTATTAACAAGCTTATCAATTGCCAACTCCACTTCATGATGAGATATATTTCTATTAAGTTTCACCATCTGATCATTAGATAATTTAGATAGATTGGAATTTTTCAAGTAAATGTCCAACAAACCTTGGTCAGGGGATTTATTCAGGTTATAAAGTTTTTGATAAAACACTCTAAATTTACTGGCAATTTCTTCAGGCTTATAGATGTAATTAATTCCATCTCTTAATTTAGATATCTTATGGTCAGTCATCTTTTTCTTCAGTTTATTTGTTAAGACTGAGTCTACCCAGTTGTTCTTATAATAATATTTAATATTTAACTTGTTTAGATTACGTTCCACCCTATTCTTAATCTGTTCATTTATCTTTTCTTGGTAGACTTTAATAGCTAAGGCTCTATCTTCAGAGTAAACTTGTTTGTTAGTTTTAGAGAGATTATAAAATTGAATATAAAGATCCGACAAAATATTGTCTACATTCCTTTTTTGAAAACTTGTAAAGTAGTCATCAGGGGATACTGGATAAAACTTTCAAGAGGACCATAAGCATTCTTTAGATACCTCATTAGATGAATTCTCCTTAATAAAGAAATCAATTAACTTCTCTATATGTTCTACATTTGCTTTATTTTTTTGCAGATAATCTGCCAATTTCCAGATCTGCGGAGGTCTCTTATTAATTTCCACCAGATCTGCGATTACCATATCATGGTCTGACCAAGTATTTTCAACGATAGAAATTGCCTGAACTAGTTTAAAACTTCCCAAAATCATATCTATCCGAGCAGCCGAATTGTGAGGGATAGATCTGTGCGTAAAATTTCTTTCATTGGGATGAAACAATCTCCAACAGTCAAACATATCCGCTTTCTTAATCACTCTGCTTAACGACGCAGCCTGGCTTTTAAGAGATTTATCTATCCTCTGATTTTTAGCCAATTGTTTAAATAAAAATCACCTTTAACGCATTATATAGATAAAAAAGAAAAAAATCTGCAGAAGAAAAAAGATCTGAAGAAAAGTTACATAATGTTTTAAAGTGGTTCATACAATGCTTAGTGAATCTCGCTGCATCTGCAGGATGAAACGCTAGTCTTTGGTGACTGGTCTTAGGAGTTTAAAATGCAGTAGCAATTCTCCTATCTGCTTTACTGTGGATCACTATATCGTTAACTGTACTGTATATAAATTCAAAGGAGCTACGCTCTGTTTTGGCATCTGCTTAACTTCACACTACACATGTCCAGTCCATATCTTTTTTTTTTTTTTTTTGTAGGAGAAGCCTTCCCTATTAATAATGAGCTCAAAATGAGTCAGAAATTTTAAGCAATGTTTCAGGGGGACCAGGGCTGCTAAGACTTGACCCTTGTATGAAGTAATCAAAAATAAAAGAAAATAAAGATCAGTCCTGTGAAAATAGGGTAGTTCAACCTGGTAATAAATGTATCTCTACTTGAAATATGTACAAAATAAATGTTATAAATATGTACAATGTAACTAAAAAGTTAAACAAATGTTCTTCCAGAAGAGAAGTAACAATGTATAAATTATGCAATGTTCACATTCGGACTTTAAAAAAAACTTGTCTGTATGGTTCACCAGTTGGACAGGTAAAACATATTTCAGGAAATCTGCTCTTATTGGCGATAATACATTAAGGAAGGGGGTAAATTAGCTGACTGACAATAGATACTCACCTCTACTAGCTAAACCTTATATTTAGTATTCAAATGTATGCCAAAAAATATAATTAAGAAGTGCAAGGATCACTATGTGTAAATTCGTATCGAAGGGTAATGAGTACTGCAGCGCCTCTATTGCCATCCCGCAATATAGTCAGCATGTAATGCATCACAACACTGACCATCTAGAGGTACGTAATTAAAACTGAGAAAATAGAAAAGAAAACCTCAGCTGTAAGTGAAAGCCATTAAAGTCAGCCTACTATATCTGCCTCTTCCACCTGAAATCTAGCTAGACAGGATACAGAGTGCAAAAAAGAATTTTAAAGTGAACAGTGATTGGTGTGCAATAAAGTGTCAAATTAAGTGTGAGGTAGTAAGAGACATTGTGAGTTTGTGCTGCTGTACCTTTGTCCAAGGGCTAACCAAGTCTGGCTGTAACGTGTTATAAAGTTGTTCGTCCCAAGGAACACCCAACGGTGATATCCAATTGCAGCCAGGAGGAGAAAGTGTTTTGATTCCCTAATTGTTGTCAGTCTGAAGTGTCAATTCACCTGTTTGTCCTTCCTCTTGTGAGGTGTATAGCTAAAGGGGTGTGGATATTGACAATGTGTCAAGCGTGGCTTGTCAATAAAGTGTAACGCCAACCATGGATGTACACACCCAGACGGTTGTACCAGGACCGCATCATATAATGATAAAGGCAATGTTCAAGATAGACATCATAGTAGATTGAGGGTGTAATCTCCCCCTGTTATAATTTAGTGTCCCCACCCGCCGGTGAGGACAATAGGTTCTACCCCTCTCCATTATTATCAAGGGCTGCCACTCAGGGGTTGGGGCCTGGGGGAGGACAATAGGTGTGTGTGTGTGTGTGTGTCTCTATCTCTCTCACTAAACTAGTGTATTATATCAGCATAAAAGTAGATAAAACAAATATAGTGCACACTGTAATGTCTCTTGGTACAAGTAGGATAATCACAAGTGTGGAGCAAAATTGGATTTTGCTCAATCCAAACAGCTTAGTCGGTTTGTTCCCCACCTAGGAAACTGGTGTCCAGGGTATGGTGAATTAAAAGCAGGAGGATCCAGGGTGTCTTGAAATAAATTAGTATTTATTCTGACTCCTATAGAGAGAGAGAAAAAAGAAATGCCAACACGTTTAATCAATGTGAGAAACACTTTAAGGTGCTACCCCTTGCTTCCTCTACCAGCAATTTGCATTTATCCTGAAAAAGGAAAAACTCCAGATTGGTGTTGGAGCTGCCTACCTTCATCTAATGCTGCTGGAGCAATGAACCTCCATATAGACTGTAACAAATATATTCTAACTTCAGACACGGTGTCAAGACCAGGCTATGTTTACACTTGATTAGACTCTTTTTAGACCATTATGACACACCTGTTTTATTTTGCTCTACTCTTAAGACCAAATGGAAAGATACAATATCATTACAAGGCTACAGAAAACAAGCCGATCACAGCGTTATGTGACATGATACATAAATTAAGGATCTAGCTTCAAGAGATCTATGGTAAAGAAACAATTCCAGACTTTCAGGGCTGCAAACACATTTTTGAAAAATGCATCTTTAGACTGGATTACTCCAATTCGTAGTTTACTCCCAAAATCTTAGCATCCCAGTTTGGGTTAAGCATGATCAAGGCACCAAATCATTGCATGTGCAATATTACGTTACATGATAGCGAGGTATAGGAAACCCATTAGCAAGATCAATGTCCCCCCTAGGAGTGGCTTGGAACGTGCAATGCAAAAGAAGCAGGTAAATATGAAAAACAATTAGATTTACCTGCTTTTTCTACTTGCTGAATGAGAACAGTCTCTTTTAAAACCTATTGGATTCATGTAACCTTAAACACTGTGTATTCTAGAGATTTTTAAAGCACCTAAACAACTTACATGCCTAATAAACATTATGGTTAGACAACCTAATTTGCAACCCAGATCTGCAGATTTTAGCTCCGCCTTCATCTTCTGTTTTCAACAGGAAATAGATTGTTAAAGGCAGTTCAAATTTGCATTAATCACACAGTGCCTTAGTTTGAAATAATAACTTTTACCTTTTTTTTTCTTTTAGGGTGACCTTGGAGCTATTGATGAGAAGTATGACGTGGCTATTTCATCATCATGTGGTGCCCTGGATCATATTGTTGTTGATACAATCGATACAGCTCAAGAATGTGTAAATTTTTTGAAAAAGCAAAATGTTGGTGTAGCAACTTTCATTGGATTAGATAAGGTATTGATGTGTTTTTTTTGTTTATGTATATATTTTTTTATTTTCCGTTCTGGTGATCTATGTGCTTTATTTTCTTAATCAGATGAAGGTCTGGGAAAAAGGAATGGACAAGATTCAGACCCCTGAAAATATTCCACGCTTGTTTGATATGGTGAAACTAAAAGATGAACAAATTAGACCAGCATTCTACTTTGCGTTACGGGATACACTAGTTGCTGATAATCTGGAACAAGCAACTAGAGTTGCTTTTCAGAAGAATAAAAGATGGAGAGTTGTAACTTTGCAAGGACAAATTATTGAGCAGTCTGGTAATACCCATTTATTTTTAAATGTTTGCTCGATTGAGTTGTGGAGGAAACTAACCTCAAATACTTCACAGCATAGTGAATAAAGTGCTGTTAATTGAGAATTTAAAAGAGTTTGGCTATTTCGACATAATTTAAGAAATTCAACTGCAAATGTTCCAGCTTTCTTGTTTTGTACACATTTTGTTCATATTTTGCAATTTTCGAAGGAAAAAGAGCATCACCATCTAAGAACTGAAAGGGGAAGGGTTATAGGCTTCTAATGGAAAGTCCGGAAAATGCCTAACATTAAAACATTATGTGTAAAGCACATTTCCAGTTGCTAAAGCTTTTAGCCACTAATTTAGCCTGTTTAAGTGAATAAACAAGCTTGTTGTGTCCATGTTTAATCCTATAACAAACACAGAAAAGTATTACAGTAAAGTTTAATGTTTTTAGTGCGTGTGTGTATGTGTATATGTATGTGTGTATATATATATATATATATATATATATATATATAACAATTATGCAATCGTTAGTATATGATTCCAGAAACACAGCCAAATGACTTAATGTAGGCTCCATATCCTTGTAATACTTTTTAAGTAAAACCTGCAAACATTTATATTTAATGATTCCTTTTAATTCTGCTTCCAGGTACTATGACAGGTGGTGGGGGAAGAGTTATGAAAGGCAGAATGGGATCATCTGTTATGGTTGAAATATCAGATGAACAGGTTGGTATTGATAGTCACCAGAACCAGATGTTTGTAATGCAATACATTTCATTTTGGTGGTTTTCTTTTCTTTTGTAGTTACAGAAAATGGAATCCAAACTTAATTCTGACTCCAATAAAGCCGCTGCAATACAAGAACGCAAGGTACAGCTGGAAGAGGAGCTAACCAAACTTCGCCAAGCAACAAGAGAGATGAAAAATACTTTTGAGAAATATACAGCCAGCCTGCAGGTACATAAACCATGCTAGTAGTCTTAAAGAGTTCCTATCATGATAAATACATCTCCCCCATTCAGTCATTGCCAATCCGCACAGATAAGAGTGTTGTGCTTTGTGTGTCTGTTATCAGGGAAACACTCCTTTTGGTTGTTCTACTTGCTTTCAGCCTAAAGGAAAGCAATGCTTGCAAGGGGGAGAAATGGCAGGCTCTGTGTGAGTGAAGCCGCATGCAGATAAAGAACATGAATGATTTATTGCATGAGCTTTGGACAATCTGAGAGTGGAGAGCTAGAACAGGTTTATTTACATACCATAAAGCTTAGGGGTAAAAAGTCTGTGCTTCTTAAAAAGGGGAAGGCAGGAGAGATGATACAACAAAAAAGTGCACAATACAGAGGTGAACTAAAAAGTAAGCTCAAACACCTAAAAAGTGGTATCCCCTACACCACTTTAAAACACATAATTATACATACATACATACAGGGAAGGTGGATATTTAGAAGCTCCACCTTCCCTGTATGAAGTCAGGAGAGAGGCAAGTCCCATTGAAAACGTGATTGATGTTCTTAGTAGGAGACAGATAATGGAATTAAATAAAAATTTGAGCTTTAATGGTATTATAGGAACACTATAGGGTCAGAAATACAAACGTGTATTCCTGACCCTGTAGTGTAAAAAACACTGGCTTCCTTTGTCCCCTTAAAAAAAAAATAGAAAACTTGCCATATCTGATACTGGCCCTGCCACTGATCCGCCTCCTTGGCTGTTATCATAATCATTGATCTCAGCCAATCAAATGCTTTACCATAAGAAAGCATTGGGAGGCTATTGCGCATGCACTGCAAAAAATCTCGCTGGCAAATCCAGCATCTCTTCATACAGAGGTATTGACTCAATGCATCCCTATGGGGAACGTTCAGAGCATGGAGACACTGACCCACAAAGCACCTTTTTGTGGCAGTCTGACTGCCGCTGAAGGTGTCCCTAGGTAGCAATGTAAACACTGCCTTTTCTTAAAAAAAAAAAAGCACGGCTTACAGTAATAAGTCTGCGAGGACTGAATATACTTACAAGAGCAACTACATTAAGCTCTAGTTGTTCAGGTGACTAGTGTCCCTATCAGCATCGGCGTTCAGCATCTCCACACTCTACATGGAGAAGCTGAAATCGTCCCGACAATTTGGGGAGGGGCAAAGAGCCTAAACTGTTTTTTAACACTACAGGATCAGGAATACACATTTTGAATTCATGACCCTATAGGTGCCTTTAATTGTATAACATTAGTCAAGATAGATGGTTAGTAAACTGCAAACATTTGTATGTCATGACAGGTTCTTTTTAAGTTATTTGTTCCTGACTTGATGAATGATTTTGACTTGTGATATATTGTTTGTGGAAAGGGTTTCAAGTCTTTAAAATACCATGACACAAAATGGATAGCTGAGTACTTGGTTTTTACAACTCATTTCATATCAAGAAGTATGAATCAATTTGCAGTAGGGTAACAGATCAGATAAACTTATTATTACTCTATGCTTTGTAACTTTTTAGAGTCTCTCTGAGCAAGAAGTACACTTGAAAACCCAGTTGAAAGGGCTGGAAGCTAATGTCGCTGCTACTGTACCGGATAAAAACCAACAAAAACAAATGGAAAAAAACCTGGAAAGCTTTAGAAAAGGTATGCTACTATTTTAATATGTACAAATTAGAATCTTTAAAAAAATAAATGTTTATCTGTTTGCTTATTGCACGTTACATAACTTAAGTGCAGATATGCTTTATAACTACAGCTGTTTTAAATGGTTACTATATAATGGACTGATGCTCAATGTAATGCATTATAAAAATACTTAATAACGATGCTCTTTCAAAATTCCTGCCATTTCTGTGATGGAAGCTTATTAGGCCCTCCCCATAGAAAAGCAATGCTTCAATGCTTTACTATGGGGATTTTACAGACGCTTGATGTCCTCATGTTCTGCATGAGGATGTCCAGCGTCGGGCAACTAAAAGACGCTTAGCAAGCAGTAAGTGCCTCTAACGGCTTACTGACAGCCACTAGAGGCAGTCTTGGTCCTGCCATGTAATTATTGCGTTTTCTCTAAAACTGCAACCATTTACATTGCAGAACTACAAGGGACAGAAACCTTGCACCCAGACCACTTAAATGAGCTGCAGTGGTTTGTGTGCCTATAGTGTCCATTTAAGAAAAGCAATTCATTTGTTTGTCCTGCCCACAGCATTGTAACTGTGGGGATATGAATCATTGATTGCAGTTTAGGGCCACTAATTCTGGGTTCCTTGGTACCAGCAGGGATCTAACCCCTGTTGGTACTTTTACTGCATGATGGCCTCTATGCTGTCACTGGGCATTAAATTTAAGCACTGCATAACTGTGCAGACAGTCATGTGGTCCTTAAGTGGATAAAAGTGTTTGCTTTAAAAAATAATTGTCAAGTATATGCATGTCCCTTTTTAAGAAGCAGGTATTTTTAGTATATACAATACCATCAGGCTCACAAATTTTATGTGTACTCTCCAATCTCCTGAGAATGTAACGATCTGCAACTCAGGCTTTTAACAGAGCTAGTAAAAAGGCTACCTTAACATCATGGGAAGCCCCAACTCGAAGCAGCTGTAGTGCCAAGTACATTATATCAGGGCTCGACAAATCCCACGTCGCCATGGCAACTAGAAATTTTGCCTGGGATTTGAATTCTAAAGGCAGAATGGTGGAACAATGGAGCCGGACGGACGACTCTGGGATCGTGGAGGCAGCCGTCCTGAGCTGCTTAGAGGCGGCAGGCCGGGGCAGCGCACAATGGAGCAGGAATCTTCCTGAGGCTCCCTCGTGCTGTATAGTGATGTTGGGTGCCGGAATACGACGTCATTCGAGCCCCAGCATCACTACAGGGCGCAACAGGTAGATTACTGCTCCCTCGCACGCAGGATGAGCGAACAGCCCACACTGGACCCCAGGGAAAGTCCACTCCCTTCTCCCAAAGGTAGGGAGGCTGTGTGGATTATAATTGGGAAAATGTCAATTTGTAGGTGGGTGTCTGTTGCTGGCTGTGGGTGGGTGTCTTTGTGTGTCTGTTTAGGAACCTGCACCCCTCCGGTCCCGAGAGGTGTTTTTACTCCCCTTCTTTCTCACTCCGTGACAGTTTTCCACAGCTTGTACTGCCTTCATGTCTGAGATCAATCTTTAAGATCTCCACTAAACCAGTGCTTTGCTATAGGAATGCATTGGGAGGATATTGCACATGTTCTCTATGGGTAACATTCAGCACTGTCACTAGAGGTGTTTACAGACCGCAATGTAAATGCTGCCTTTTCTATGAAAAGGCAGCATTTACATTAAAAAGGCTACAGGGACAGGTCATAGACACCAGAACTACATTAAGCTGTAGTGGTTCTGTTAACTATAGTGTCAGTTTAAGTATTGTGTATTTCTCATAATTTATACTCCGATAGTTTTAAAAGCTGGCTCCTAGACTACAAACAAATTTGTCAAGCCCTGAATTATATAATCTGTGCCGGTGTTAAGTCCCTTTAATGTCTAGTATAATAACCCATTTGATTTGATATGCTTGTTCCTAGAAAATGTATACCGCATATACTAGAGTATAAGCCGAGGCACCTAGTTTTACCACAAAAAAATTGAAAAACGTATTGACTCATGTATAAACTTCAAAATAAAAATATGATGCCTCAATTAATGTAATTTTATTGGTATCAGTAGGTTAACGGGACTCTCCAGTGCAACAATCAGTTTTCCTGGCACTGCAGGTCCCCTCTCCATCCCACCTCCCATCCCCGGTTGCTGAAGGGGTCAAACCCCCACAGGCAGCGACTGTCCCTTGGCACTGCTTCTTGGTCCGCCCACGCTCCTTCCCGTCACCATGTCAGCAGGCGGGGGAGATTGATGGGAGTTGGCACCCAGACCATTCCAATGGGCAGAAGTGGTATATGTGCCTGGAGTGTCCCTTTTAAATGTTTTTGAATATTTATTTACAGTGTGTGTATATAATGAATGCTGTCTGTGTAGTGTGTGTGTGTATATAATGAATGCAGAGTGTGTGTTTGTGTAGTGTGTGTAAACTGGGTGGGGGGGAGGGCGTTTTTATTTTAATATTTATTTAAATTTTAAACGTTTTTTTTTTTTAACTTTTATTTTTTTGTCCCCCCTCCCTGCTTGTTACCTGGCCAGGGAGGGGGACTATGGTATTCCCTGGTGGTCCAGTGGCATGGGCTGTGCAGTGGGGGCCCGCAGAAGCTTACTTACCTTCCAAGCAGCTTCCTTCAGCTCCCCTGTGTAAATCTCATGGTCTGCGTGCCACGTGTATCGTTGCTATGGTAACCCGCCGCAACGCTCTGACGGCTGTGGGACTCATGAGATTTAGACAGGGAAGCTGAAGGGAGCTCCTGGGAAGGTAAGAGCTTCTGTGACCCCCCGGGACCGCCGGGCTTGCCATTAGCCCGGCGGTCCTGGTCTGTATTATGGCAATGTACCCTTTTTACTTAGAGTCAATGTCTGTATTATGGCAATTTACATTGCCATAATACAGACCAGGACCGCCGGGCTCATTACAAGCCCGGCGGTCCTGTTGGGGGCTGGCAGTGAGCTCTTACTTACCTTTCCTGCAGCTCCCTCCTCCTCCGTGCAGCTCCCCTGTCAGCTCCGTTCTGCTCACAGTGTAAGTCTCGCGAGGCGGCTCTTGCAAGACTTACACTGTGAGCAGAACGGAGCTGACAGGGGAGCTGCACGGAGGAGGAGGGAGCTGACAGGAGCTGCAGGAAAGGTAAGTAAGAGCTCACTGCCAGCCCCCCCACTGAACTGCCAATGCCACTGGACCACCAGGGATTTAATATTATTTTATTTTAATAATAATAAAATAATATTAAAATATTATTAAATTATTATTTTAATATTTGCATAATTTTTTTTGTTTTTTTTGGCCAGGCAACAAGCAAGGAGGGGGGGACAAATAATTTTTTTTTTTTAAATATTGCAAATATTAAAATAATATAATAAAATAATATTATATTATTTTAATATTATATTATTATTTTAATATTTGCATTATTTAAAAAAAAAATTTTGACCCCCCTCCCTGACCAGGCAACAAGCAGGGATGGGGGACAATTTAAAAAAAATAAAAAAAATAATGCAAATATTAAAATAATAATATATTAAAATAATATAAAATAAAAATACCCTCCCCTCATCCAGTACACACACACTGCATTATATACACACAAACACACACTCTGCATTCATTATATACACACACAAACACACACTCTGCATTCATTATATACACACACTCTGCATTCATTCTATACACACACTGTAAATAAACTGTAAATAAATATTCAATTAATGTAATTTTATTGGGATCTAATTTAATTTAGAAATTTACCAGTAGCTGCTGCATTTCCCACCCTAGGCTTATACTCGAGTCAATACGTTTTCCCAGTTTTTTTGTGGTAAAATTAGGGGCCTCTGCTTATATTCGGGTCGGCTTATACTCGAGTATATACGGTAAGTTGCCATAATACAGACACTCATTCAAGTATAAGCCATGGGGGGCTTTTCAAGCATAAAAAAATGTGCTGAAAAACTTGGCTTATACTCAAGTAAATACGGTAATTGTTTTCATGGAATGAGCATAAGTAATTGGTTACCTGGTTTTAGATGTAGAAATGTAACAAACATTCAAATAATTCAAGCTCCTTTTATTTCCTAACTTACTAGCCAGACCTAAATGTTACTCCCCACCACAAATGTGTCCTACCAGTATTTTGTTTGTGATGTACACTGTCTATGGCAGGGATTTTTACTATGGATGAGTTCACAGGGAAGGCTATACTGTGAATCTCTAGTTGTGAGTGCAAGTGATGTGGGAATGACAAGTAAATTAAGTATTTTGTTTCTCAGTGGTAAGAGTAGCTTATTCTTGCTGCTGCTCCTTGTTCTTTCTTCCAATAGAACAGCAACTACACTTAATAATTCTGTCTTTTTCACCTTGTAAGTGGCCCCGTCTTTACTTTATTTGAAGAGACATCTGACATCTTATCTGAAGTGGATTATTGGTAGTGTCTTTCTCTTCTTTCAGCCCTTAGCCAGAAAACTGTTTAACTTTTTAAAGTAGTATGCACAGCATTTCCGATAGACGTACTCTGTTCTTTAGTTAGATGAGGATAAATATAAAATACACCTCTTTAAAGAGAAATATGATACAGCTGTGATCGCTAACTGGGATTTCAGTAGGTTTGCTTCCTTCCTCCTCCTCTCCCCCACACTTTTATTCCATTCTGATTTAATTCCATAATATCAGAGTTCAGTGAATATCTGTCAATGTCCAGGGCTCTAAGCAGATTCTCCTATTTTACATTATTTTAAGAGTCCGGATAAGTTGATTGTCATGACCAATACGTAGATTGGGCTACTGCTTTAGGTATTTATAGTCTGTATACTTCAGTCTGTAGAAGCTAGCTAGTCTAAGGTGTTTTTTTTTTTTTCTTTTTTCTTTTTCTAAACACCTTAGACACACCCAGGTAATCCCTAAACCCTGGACTGGTATGGGGTCCTGAGGACTAACGTTGAGAACCCCTGCTATAGACCATCTGGATTTGTTTTATGTGAAAATACAAAATGCTCAACTTTGGAGTGAACGTGGGATTGTGAAGTGTATGTAATAAAGTGGTACTTGTGTAGGTGGGGAGAATAATTTATATAAGCGGGGGAAGCATACTCTCCTTATACCCACCCCTCTGTCTTTCTTTCATTTCAGAAATAGTTTGAATGAGTATTGTTGAAGGCATAGTCCAAACAATGTCATGTAACCTGGTAACTTACTTCAGCGCCATCTTGTTGGTGTGAACATTCAGTGTACATACGCTTGTTTGGCCTTTACCCCTTGAGCCCCCAGTGACAATCACAACTGAATAGATGGTGTTGATAGCATGAGCTTCCAATGACCATTTGGCATTATAGTTTTCAGTGCTGTGCCTGTGATGAATAATGTGGTTTTGGAATTGCTTGCACTAGAATGGAATCTGCAAACAAATAAAATGTCTTTATATAGTTTGGTAGAAAGTTCCTATCCAGTTGTATATCCAGTGTATTATTTTATTTTCTAGTTTAGTAATTTACACTGGCTGAAGTTACAAGAGTAGAATAGTATTTTTATTGTTCATTTAGTTTGGTTTCTAATTTATTTTAAAATTTTTTAGAATATGAAAAAGCTGCAGAGAAGTCAGGAAAAGTGGAAGAAGAAGTTAAAAGATTGCACAAGCTCATTGTTGATATTAACAATCACAAGTTGAAAGCTCAGCAAGATAAGTTGGATAAAATCAGCAAGGAGATAGACGACTGCACATCTGCTATAACCAAAGCACAAGTTTCAATCAAGACTGCGGACAGGTATGACATTTTACATAAACCTATACCTATCTACTCTAACCATTCATACAGAGGTTTGGAGGTCTACCTCCCTGTTGAACGTGTTACCAGTCATGTAGAGATAGAATAGAGGCACTTGATAACAATTACATTGTGCTACCTAAATTGTTAGTACCTACCCTGTAAACAAATATATAAATCATAGGTATGTCAGTAGCATGGAAATCTTACAATGCCTTTATTTCCATTGCAAATGCCATATACACTGAACCCTTTGGGATCTCACCAAATAGACTAGGAAGCAAGCTTCAGAGTCGAGTAGCTTAAAACATAAATTGAATACTTATCGTGCAATATATCTTGATCCCTTATTTGATAGTCATGTTAAAATTGAACTAATTCAATCACAATGCCTCTAAAACTAAATCTGCCCCGTGTTTACTTTTACCAAGATACTCAGTATAATTTTCAGTCTTCTGTCTCTCTAAAGGAGTACACGTTTATGCACATAGAACTACAGCAGACATAAAAGGAAAGAACCTGACTCTGTATTTGTTTTTAATTTTTAAAGAAATCTCAAAAAGGCAGAAGATACTGTTGTCCGAACAGAACAGGAAATTGTAGAAAATGACAAAAGTATTGAGGCATTGACAGAAGAGCTTAAAAACCTTGAAGAAAAAGCCACTGCTGTAATGAATGAATGCAAAGAAGCAGAGGTATGTTGGTAAAAGAAATTAATAAATTGGTTTCGCTTCTAATTTTCTGGGTTTGTGGTTTTGTTTTTTTGTAAACAAAATTGCATTGTTATTTAAAAAAAAAAAAAATATGTATGGTTTGCATGAAAGAATTTTGGTAGTTGTAGACATGTCACTTTTGCTTTGCATTCTTTCCATGTATTCAGTTTAATACATTAACATATAAACAAATACAGTAGATAGACAACTCTCCAGTCTGCCATAGTTTTATAGTGGGTGTTTAAAGAAATTCACACAAGTACCAACAAGTCGGTATGTGCGGATAACAGGTGTCGTTTTTGTTCAGAGCTAACATTATGCAGTCCGTAAAGAGTTCCAGGCTGCCTAAGTCATGTGTCCCATGGGTGCAACTTACTCTGTACAGGCAGAGTTTCAAGCTGATTGCTCCATGGCCAATTCTAAAAGCAGTAGTAGTCATGGAGGTTGAATAACACTCAAAGCATCATAACCACATCAACCCGTTATGTTTTTGCCCTCTCGGGGTAAGTAGCCATATAGTTTGTGAACTTACCTGGAGTCTTCTAGGTGATGTCCAACGCCTAGCAGACCCCTAGACAGTTATAAAATGATTTGGTTGCTTAGCCTGAGTGTGTGCCATTACTGCCAGCAGGCTGTAGGGTTTATGGTGCTTGAAGTGTTCCTTTAATTAACAGATTAACAGATGCATACCTGTGAGATTCCACTTAGTTGAACTGCAAAGAAAATACTTAATTTGTTAATCCTTTGAGGTAGCACTTTTTTTTTTTTCCCTCTCTGTGTGAGATAGATATATCTCTCAGCAAGGTGATAATAGATATGTGTGTGTGTATACAGATAGGGGTGTAGATATATAGATGGAGAGAAAGAGCTATAGGGATAGGTGGGTAGAGAGAGATATATAGATAGATGTACTGGATATTCCTTGCACTCAGACTATAGATAATTTAAAGTGCCGGATGCATTCAGCAGGCGTAATTAAATGTAGAGATCACTCTTGAAAAGTTTGCACTCACGGTCTTCCCCATTTAAAAAAAAAATAATAATTTTTACTGAAACAAGTTAATATACAGATCGACATCATCCTTGATCCAGATGATAGTCCCAGACACGGACTGAAACAGTGGTCTGTATTTTAAATTTTTTTTTCAATAAAATGTTGGTGTTTTTTTTTTTTGTTTTGTTTTAATGGAGAAGACCTCAAGTGCAATCTTTTCTACAGTGATCTATATTTAGATCTATAGGTAGGTTAAGGTGTAGATATAGAGAGATATATAGATATAAATAAATATACACTGAAGCTCCAGTTCTCATCCAGAGTGTCTCCTTTTCATGCAGAGAGATCATTGATATAGCTTTCCACCCAAACATCATTTGAAACTTGCTAACTTGATGAAGGGTGAAAATAAAACTGCCTTTATTGGTCACAGTTCATACATTTATACACAGACCCCCAGGAGGGAGGGATGTTTACTGAAACAATACAAATTACTCCCAGGAGCCTGTGTCTGGGAAATAAGATAGATTGAGAACTGCCAATCTAAATAACCTCCAGACTTCAGGGCCCCCTACAAAATACCACAAAACCTAAATTTCTCCATCAGTAAAAACGCTACATGTCATGCATCCCCAGATAACAACCTGTTAGCTGTATACAAGTAGCACAGTGTAGGATCTCCACCTTGTTAAAGGTTCATCATGTTATACACTATTAAGTGGTTATTGGTATACCAGTGCGCTGTCCACTACCATTTTATCGTGAGTTGGCAGTCTGTTCCAGAAGACACAGCCTCCATAGATAGGTTGCCGGGTAGTCCTATTTTAGAGCACTCGGTCTAAGAGCCACAGCAGGGGTTATTTTTTACTCCCCAATGGATAATACTGAAATTAAACTTAGCCATGGCTATATATTCCTACCCTTTTATCTTTTTGGTGCTTGAGGCTTCTGGTTATGCTTTGGGTGCCTTTCTCTCTCTTTTTTTTTTTTTTTTGCCTCCTTTTTCTCAGGGCATACCTGCAAAAGGATATGTTTGAAGATAAGAACTGCAAATGTTGAGTTTTTCTTCTTGACTTAGAAATGTGATGTTTATCGTTCATTACAATCAATAAATTGCTTTTATTGATTGCTTTTCAGGTGGAATTTTGTATGATTGTTTAATCTTATTGTGTAGCGTAGGGTAACAGTCCAAACCCCTAAGCTTCAGCTTGCTTGGAGATCAACAGTTGTCATCTTCACCCAGCAGGCACTGTTGGGTCCGAAAAAAGCAATCCTCTTGTATTACATAAACATATTCTTGTTTCTCTTTCTCTTTTTAGAGTTCTCTTCCAGAAATTCAAGAAAAACATCGCGATTTGCTTCACGAAATCAAAGTTATTCAGGATAAGGAGCATTCCCTCCAAAAGGAAGCGCTTAATATTAGACTCAAAATTGAGCAAATTGACAGTCACATATCAGAACATCAGTCAAAAATCAAATACTGGCAAAAAGAGGTAACCCTCAAGTTTTTGTTGTGGGTTTTTAGTTTTTTTTTTTTGTTTGTTTGTTTGTTTTTTTTCTCATTGCAACACTTTTTGTCTTTATAATTTCATTCTATAAAGATGTTTGTATTTACCTAATGTAGATATCAAAGATCACACTTCATAGGATAGAAGATAATCCAGAAGAGGTTCTTCCTGTATTAACACAGGAAGAGCTAGATGCAATAAAAGATCCTGATCAAATAAAAAATCAAATTGCACTACTGGAGGCGAAAAGTACTGAAATGAAGCCAAACCTTGGTGCTATTGCAGAATATAAAAAGAAGGTATGTATAACTCACCATATATGCCGCAGAGTCTGTTTTGAATTGGAAAATCTAGTTTTCTCTATTTCCATTACTTTTGGAGTTCAAGATTTCTTCTTTGAAAAACTGTTCTGTTACCAATGATTCTGTTTACCTGCTTAAAGAAAACTAGATGTTTATTGACTCTTGTGCAGCAAATGACCTTAACAACGCCTTCTTATATATGTGAGAGATCAGAACTTGACTAAAGACACAAAATAGATTTGTCATTTGTGGTAGTTGGTATTATCCCTCTAACCTTTTTTAAATTCTTTCTTTTTCTTATTAGTTAGAAATTGTGCCTTAAAACAAGGGTTAACCAAGATCTAATGCACTATGAGAAACTGAAATGTACAAAATTTTGTTTCATGTGGTTCATTTGAATAAAATTCCTTACAAACTTCTAACTAATATATCACAAATATTCAAGTGGCTTATAAATTAAACAAATCAGAATCTTCAAAATTATTAAAAGGCTGTTAATATAAATGTTTGATTTGGTTAGTTTGTGAACTAACCACCTTTTCAGAACCTATTTGTTAAACAATTGGCAGAAATGTCATTCTAATTTTTTTTCCTTTCTGCTTTGTCCTGGGCACAAAACAATCAGGATGCACATGCTTCTACAACTGAAAGTATGCAATTTAGGCACTTAATATAGGTACAGATTTTCTTTCCGGAGAAGTCACAAAGACTGGGCACTCTGTTAAATTCTAAAGCTCTTGAGTAAGTTGAGTTGCTTTTAGGCTTTTGTAGTGTTCATAAAAATAGTATAGTTGGAAATGCTAGTGGTAACAGAACTACATGAACATCAAAATGCACTACATAATGTTCTTTTAAAAGTACTGTAAGAGTCATGGTGTGTTAATGGGAACTAGTGGAGACTGGTCCACTGAACTGTCCCACTTGGCTGTTTGTCCCTTTTCCTCTGACACCAGGAACCAATGCAACTTTTCTTAAGGGAAAGGTCTAGCCCTCTACCCATTGAACTTTCACGTATTGACGCCTTCTGCTTCCTCCAGGATTTTGTACCCTATCCCTCTCTAATAGCTCTCAGACATCCAGAATGCAGACCCTTAATTATGCAACTAAAAGGGACTAGTCTTACACCATAATATCTTTTATTTACATGGATAACAAAGAATCCATTGTTTTCTACCTGCATTCATTTCTAGCAAATTGTATAAGCTTGATCATCTAGATACATTAATGTGCATAACTACAAAGATGGCCTTCAACTAATGGTTGGAGCTGCACCAAATGAAGTTCATATAGCAGTTACAGTGGTCAAGCTGCCATGCACTGGCTTTCTGAGTTTCTTTCATAAGAGGTGTCCTAATCTCCTGGCAGAAGCCTACCTCTAAACCCCCTCCAAAATGTATTTTTGCTGCGTGTAAGATGGAGTTAGTTGTTCCAGGTAGCACAAAGGTAAAGGCAACTGGAGCATTATTGTGAAATGAGTGAAATAATTTTTTTTTTTTAACACATGTTGTGGAACTACTTCCCTCCTACACAAACTGGGTGGTGAGAGCTGCCATCTTGGGAGATCATACTTTGATGTTTTTATAAATTTAAAAGCCCCTTCCTTATTTACAAATGTTTTTTCTGTGGTTTTGAATGAGGCATTTTAACTTGTACAGATGTATGACGTAGTGATAAGTAGGAGTACCCTCACCTCTGTTGCTTTTACGAAAGGACTATCTGAGGCAAATCAGGTTACTCTTTCATTTGACGGAGTGGTAAGTTGCTCCAAATGACATGGTATAAATGAGCAAGTCTTGTAGCATCTTTAAAGGGTTGCAACAAGCACCTTTACTAATATGGTGAGTTGAAGTGGTCATGGTACTTTGAGTCTGTATGTGAAGTGTTACAATTTAAAGCACTGCACATAGAAATATCTGAGGTGGCAGATGAACAATAGCCGACACCATTTTTATACTGTAAACGTAGTGTCAAATACTTTGACAAATTCATAAAAAATCAGGCGTTTTACCTACAAGTATTTTTGTCTTTGAATAGTTTCATTAAATCTGCATATGTGGTTTTTCTGTTTAAACAGGAAGAATTGTATTTACAAAGAGTTGCAGAACTTGATGAAATTACAAATGAAAGAGATAACTTCAGACGAGCATATGAAGATCTTCGTAAGCAACGACTCAATGAGTTCATGGCAGGATTTAATATTATAACAAATAAACTGAAAGAAAATTACCAGATGTTGACATTAGGAGGAGATGCTGAGCTTGAACTGGTAGACAGTTTGGATCCATTTTCAGAAGGCATTATGTTTAGGTAGGTAGTATGTGAATGAATTTGTGTTTTTGGTGTCACATATTGTAACATAAACCAAAGTATTTGTCAATACAAAGTATTGTTTATGTATGTTAGAGCTGTTCAAATGATTATTCCTCAGCTGTTGCAGAACCATTTTTGAGGTTGGCAAAGCAATATGGGAATTCTACTAAATTCTTCAATGCTGGGAATCTCGCTCTTGGTAATCCCAGGTGTGCATTATGTACCAGTGACCCCTCTTAATGCAGAGATCCTCCATTCTCTTAAGGGCAAAGCTGAGTTGACTGCTTTAATTGTGTGCTGAACAAAATCTGATCAATTCATGATCATTTCACTTCAATGAACATTGAAAATGAAGGGAGCGATAGTCAGGATTTTGCCTCGGTTTTTCTTTTGGTTCTCCACAGTCTCAGGCTTCCTGTAGGATCATGACTTGTGGCACATTCTAAATTTTATGTTAATCATTTAGTGGTCACTTTCTAACCACTAAAATCTGTTTCTCAGAGGTTTGTGGTTTTGTTTTTTTATACTGTTCCTCCATATCCATAGTTTTGCCTCTATGCCACCTGGAAAATAGTTTAAGCCTCCCCTTACAATCTTCCAAAAGTATTCAGTATGCAATACAACCTTCCTATGTGTCCTTTCTATACTAATGGCTAACTAGTAGCCTTTCAAATCTGTTTGCCAGACAAATCCATAAAAACTGATCTCTGATAGATCCTTCTTGGCCATATGAACTTAAGATCCCTGATATGTTAAAGAAATGTACAAATATTTGGTTTTAACGTTGGTGTTCCTTACATAATGCACTGGTTCCCCGTTGTGTATGGGGTGGGGGTTGTTTTGTTTTTTTAATTCATTGATTTATTGCCATTGTAAATCTTAGACGTGTGTGTATGCTGTAATGGACACCAATGTGTACTTGAATATACACAGCAGGATCATGCTACAGTGAGTACTGCATTATCAGTTTAGGAATTCAATGTGTCCGTTAATGACCTCTAATATTGGTAGATTGTGTGTGAAGTGAACTTCAGGAAGCTAGATCGGACTCTGAAGTGACTAAAATGTTAGTCTTTATATTTAAATCTAATAAAAATCAAAGTTTATGTAGGTGGCCTATAGAAAGCCAGAAAACAAATGTGTGTGTATATTGTTTGAAAATAGAATTTTCTGCTGCATTTAGGTAGAATTGACCAATCTGGCATTAAAACAATTAGATTTTCCAAGTCCCATTGATGCTGAGAGACACAGTGTTGTATTAGGCATGGAAGGACCTGTTTGGTTATTTCTCATTTTATAATCTAAAATATAATGTTTAAAGCATTTTATTTCATTATGTACAATTTTTATTTTAGTGTCCGACCACCAAAGAAAAGCTGGAAGAAAATCTTTAACCTCTCAGGTGGAGAGAAGACATTGAGCTCTTTAGCTTTGGTATTTGCTCTTCATCATTATAAACCAACTCCTCTTTATTTTATGGATGAAATTGATGCAGCCCTGGACTTCAAAAATGTATCCATCGTGGCTTTCTATATTTATGTAAGTAATCTATAAAGCTTGTATGTCTTGAGCACATTTGGACCTGTAAGCATACAATTTGACCACAGTGCTGAAATGGTGACCTTTCCTGTGTGCTTGGACTTCAAACTTTTTCAGAAAGTGAGCTTTTCATAAAGGAACACTATAGGCAGCCAGACCACTTCAGCTCAACTTTAACCCCTTAAGGACCAAACTTCTGGAATAAAAGGGAATCATGACATGTCACACATGTCATGTGTCCTTAAGGGGTTAAAGGGACACTATAGTCACCAAAACAACTTTAGTTTAATGAAGTAGTTTGAGTGTTATAGATCATGCCCCTGCAGTCTCACTCCTCAATTCTCTGCTATTTAGGAGTTAAATCACAGTTTATGCAGCCCTAGTCACACCTCACTGCATATGTGACTTGCACAGCCTTCCTAAACACTTCCTGTAAAGTTATCTTATGTTAACACTTTCTTTTATTGAAAATGTTTTAATTTACAATTCATTATCTCCTGCTTTAATAGCTTCCTAGACCATGCAGGAGCCTCATGTATGTAATTAAAATTCCATTTACAGAACAGGAGATAAAAATGTTTAATGTTTTGGTGACTACCGTATATACTCGTGTATAAGTCGATCTCATGTATAAGTCGAGGGCAGTTTTGTGACCAACAATTGTGAAATATGCTATGCCTCATGGATAAGTCGAGGGTAAAACTTGGGGCTATGAAATTCTGTGATTTTTAGAATTATATACACACACACACTCATACAAACACACACTCTGCATTATACACACACACACACACACTCATACAAACAATCTGCATTCTACACACACACTCATACAAACACACACTCTACATTATATACGCACACACACTCATACAAACACACACTCTGCATTATATACGCACACACACTCATACAAACACACACTCTGCATTATATACGCACACACACTCATACAAACACACACTCTGCATTATACACACACTCATAAAAACAATCTGCATTCTACACACACACTCATACAAACACACACACTCTGCATTATATACGCACACACTCATACAAACACACACTCTGCATTATATACGCACACACACTCATACAAACACACATTCTGCATTATTCACGCACACACACTCATACAAACACACACTCTGCATTATATACGCACACACACTCATACAAACACACATTCTGCATTATTCACGCACACACACTCATACAAACACACACTCCATTATATACGCACACACACTCATACAAACACACACTCTGCATTATTCACGCACACACACTCATACAAACACATACTCTGCATTATACACGCACACACACTCATACAAACACACACTCTGCATTATACACGCACACCCACTCATACAAACACACACTCTGCATTATACACGCACACCCACTCATACAAACACACACACACTCTGCATTATATACGCACATACACTCATCAAATACACACACACTCTGTGTGTATATAATGCAGAGTGTGTGTGTGTTTGTATGAGTGTGTGTGTGTAGAATGCAGATTGTATGAGTGTGTGTGTGTATAATGCAAAGTGTGTGTGTGTTTGTATGAGTGTGTGTGTGTGTGTGAGAGAACTGGGTGGGAGGAGGGCATTTTTATTATAATTTTTTTATATATTAAGTTTTTTTTATTTTATTATTTTTTTAATATTTTACATTTTTTATTTATTTTAATATTTTAAGTTTTTTATTTTAATATTTTTCATTGTATTTTTTCTTATTTATTTAATTAAATTTTCGTCCCCCCTCCCTGCTTGTTAGCTTGCCAGGGAGGGGGGCTCTCACTCCCTAGTGGTCCAGTGTATGGGCTGTGTAGGAGGGGGGGCTGACAGTGAGAGGTTACTTACCTTTCCTGTGGCTCCTGTCAGCTCCCTTCTCCTCCGTGCAGCTACTCTGTCAGCTCCCACTGTAAGTCTCGCGAGAGCCGCGGTGACCCCGCGGCTCTCGCGAGACTTACAGTGGGAGTTGACAGAGGAGCTGCACGGAGGAGAAGGGAGCTGACAGGAGCTGCAGGAAGGTAAGTAACCTCTCACTGTCAGCCCCCAACAGGACCGCCGGGCTTGTAATGAGCTCGGCGGTCCTGGTCTGTATTGTGGCAATGTAAATTGCCATAATACAGACATTAACTCGAGTATAAGTCGAGTGGGGTTTTTTCAGCACAAAAAATGTGCTGAAAAACTCGACTTATACTCGAGTATATACGGTATATAGTGTCTCTTTAAAATACCACTTCAGATTGCTGATGTGCTTTGTGTCAGGACCCTTCCCATTTTGATTGCAGTTTATAAAGCTGCTGATTATTCCATTTTAATCAGCACTTTTGTAAATTACTGCAGAAATGCCTTGTCAGCTGTCAATAGGAGGTTATGACTAGAGTGCGCGTGCATTTTCCCCCAAGTTAAAATATATGCTAGTGGCTAGTTTTAAAGACATATTTGCTTGAGTTCCTCTAAAGTACTATAGTGCAATTATTGATAAGTCTTTTTAGTTACACCTGGCTGAAGACTAAAGACTTTTTTACAGACAACAAAGCCGCTTTGAAATAGTGGGTTTTAAAAACACCTTGTGTAAAAATAAAGGGACATTCCTGTCATATTGTCAAGAAAAATCTGGACTTTTATAAATCCCTTTAGTACCATTGACACAGTTATCATTTTCAGACTAATCTGTAATGCAATTTTCTTTTAGATTTTTAATGGTCTTTTTTATGTTATAGGAGCAAACTAAAAATGCACAGTTCATAATAATATCTCTACGGAACAACATGTTTGAGATTGCAGACAGATTGATTGGAATTTATAAGACTCATAATACCACAAAAAGTGTTGCCACAAATCCAAAAGTCATTGCATCGAAGGGACTTGCTGAAACTAATGCAGTTGGATGCCAGTGAATTTCATGACAAATTTGACAAAACATGTCTTTTGTTTCAGTTGCTCTTCCCCCCTCACCTCCCCTTCCCCTCCCCCCTTCAACGCCATTATTGTCTACCTCACCTGTTTCTTATTCTGACCTATCATGTAAACAGAGCTGCAACATGAAACTTTACAACACATTGACTTTCTTTTCCTCTGTTGTAAATATGTATAGTTACTGTGTTGATTTTGGTTTTTCTACATATCTTTCCCTGTGGTTAGTGGTCAATAAATATATTTTTATAATCTAAAAGTTCCCAACAGAAATATGAAGGTTGTTTTTTGTTTTTTGTTTTTTTTCTCTTCTGTGATTAAAATGTCCATTTTAACTATAATTTTTTTGTATGTGCACAATCACTCAAATTCCCAGTTTTACGTGTGAATGGAATGCAAAGCTAATTACAAGTGCAGATAAAGGTTCAAAAGTGGTGATGTAAGTAAATTGTATATACGTGAGCAAACATTAATTATTTAATTGTAGCTATTATGTATTTCAGTGACCTATCGACTTGCTTTGGGGAAATTGTATGTGCCAAATATTTTATTAATTTTTTTAAAACTATATAAATGGTCTCTGTAATTGATAAATGTACTTGCTGTACATTTTTTTTTTCCTTGGAATTAATGGCAGTACATATAGGTGAATACTCTATATTGGATAGGTAACACAAGATAAATTGTTAAAAATGTATTCGGTCCCTCCTACCTTCTCATAAATGCAGGACCTTACTCCAAGTAGCCAGTTTATCCCAAACATTACACAAACAAAGAATTATTGCAAACCATTAATTATGGAGGGAGTTTGTCATGCCACTAATACTAAGGAAAACATATACAGAAAGAAAAGTCCTGCGCTTTTTTTTTCCCCCCCACAAGAGTCTCAACTGGCCAGGCATCTCAGAACCAAAAGTCACCAAATTGGCCGTGAAATCAGTGTGTGCGGGCACATTGGTCCATGTAATTGGGAAATGATGAGAAATGGGAATAACCTGGCCTCCTATTCCAGTGTGGTATGAACCTGAGCCATATGTGTAGGTTTGCTTACAACTAGTGCCAGAATGCAACTGTCGGTGGGAAGAAGACTCAGCGGTTGGGAAATGTGCAGAATAATTCTCATGGCGAACTTCAATGTGCCCAGTAAGACTGTAGATCCATTCTCGCCCCACCTCTGTAGGTAGACATGTTCTGTAGCGTATCAGTGTCAAGATGAATGCCTAAGAAGGTCAGTTTGTGAAAGTGAAACCCATAGTGAGGAAAAGTGCCATCGTCTTGTGAATACTAACCAGAGCGGAGTGAGTGCGTTCTATCGCGAGAAAGTTATCTAAGATACCGGGTGACTGCAGGACATTCACTAATATTGAGTGTTAGTCAACATAGTGGGTTGCTCTAAAAGTTACACGTGTGGGAAAGTCATGACAATCCCTCCATAAAATGCAGCGAACATGCCCTCGGGATGGCTGACTAGGTAGAAGCTTGGAGGCATAGGAAATGTCTGTCTTGCCCATTCAAGCTCTGGTCAACCCCTTTGGCATAGTGCTGGGAGAATTCCTTAGAGGAAATCAATGAGTTGAGGCTAGGGGTGGGTAATTAATATGGTTGTCAAATACCTTCTTAAACAACGTGATTGTGTTGCGGGGTCTATTAATACTGACTGAAGGTTCTGACACTCGTGAATACTGGACAGGAGTGTGACCAGACCTGTATGGAAATCTTAATGTAGAAGTCGACTGAGTGACGGAAAGGGTGTGCTTAGAGGTAAAACTCCAGGTTGTCGATGCAAACCTTCTCTATGGTGAGGAGAAGTAGAGCCACTTACGTCACGAACGTCTGACGGCTAGGATGAATTCTGGGATAGTGAGTTTCTGATTGAGTTTGGGATTCTGGTGTATAAAACGACGTACAGATCATCGTAGTAGTAAGACCTGTACTCTAAGACATTGTGTGAGGCAATCAGTAAGGAGACTAAAATTTACCTTTCCAGATGTCTTTGCGTATGGTCAGGGACACAAAGTACGAGGGAGTAATAATGTAAACCAATGTGCTAGGGGCGGGTTTTGAAAGGATAACATAACCATGAGTTATAATCATGAGTTAACCATCGGTACCAAGTCCATGAGTGATAAAATAAGACCTATGCGATATATGATGCTAATGCAATATACGTAGTGAATATTAAACGCTTACCAGGGCTGAATTAGTAATGGGAAACTGACAATATCCGTGCACAATCGTAAATATTAACTAGAAACATAGCAAACATAACCGAACTACAGGGCATGTAAGGATAACTAGTAGCAGGCTAAATACTTTCAAAAAAAGAACCTGGACATTTCATGTATCGGGGGAACAGTGTAAAACTAACGAATTGGTACTATGATTGTGGTGGCCGCTAGATGGAGGCATGTAACTGAGATAGACTGGAGACTAGTTCGGTAGGAATTTGACGAAAAGAAACTAGCGAATAGGAATGGAACAAAGAGCAGGCAGGAGTAGATGAACTGACTTAAAGGACCACTATAGTGCCAGGAAAACATACTCGTTTTCCTGGCACTATAGTGCCCTGAGGGTGCCCCCACCCTCAGGGTCCCCCTCCCGCCCGGCTCTGGAAGGGGGAAAGTGGGAAAAACTTACCTTTTTCCAGCGCTGGGCGGAGAGCTCTCCTCCTCCGATCCTCCTCCGTTCGCCCGCCGGCTGAATGCGACGCGCTGCAAGAGCTGCGCGCGATTCAGTCGTCGCATAGGAAAGCATTTACAATGCTTTTATGGACGCTAGCGTGCTCTCACTGTGAAAATCACAGTGAGAAGCACGCAAGCGCCTCTAGTGGCTGTCAATGAGACAGCTGCTAGAGGATTAGGGGGAAGGCTTAACCCATTCATAATTATAGCAGTTTCTCTGAAACTGCTATAATTATGAAAAAATGGGTTAACCCTAGAAGGACCTGGCACCCAGACCACCTCATTAAGCTGAAGTGGTCTGGGTGCCTAGAGTGGTCCTTTAAGTCCTGAACAGGAAAAAGGTCCAGAATGGACGGTATGTAAGAACGTAAACGTGTGAACAATTGTGTGTTCATGGATTTGGCCCGTACAGGCAGACTCTAGGTTCGTGGATTTGACTGGTACACGAAACAAACGACTTGACCCAGAAGCTTGCGGTGAGGTGAGAGGTCAGCTATGCGGCTGGAAAGTACCCAGACTTGGTGGACACAGAGGTTTGGTCCAGGAAAAGGCCCGGGAAGCTGGTAAGGGGTTTCATGACCTTTGAACCGGAAGTAGAAATGAACCAGGCAGCATCGGCCCTGTGGTGTAGGGGGCCTGAGTTTAAATAGCCGGGTAACCCCTCCCACAACTTCAGGCTACGTCTTCCAATATATATATATATATATGTGTGTGTGCAAATACAAAAACGGGATACACTCACAGGTCTTCATCAAAGTGAAAAGAATTGTGTTTTATTAATCCATTAGGTGTGTATAAAAATCGATCGACGTTTCGACCCTGACGGGTCTTTTTCAAGATCATTAAATACAAATCATAAATGTGCTTATATACAAAATGTAAAGGGTAGCACTTACCATACAGTGGAGTGGAGTGTCTCTGCCCGTTACAACCCGGAAGTGGATGGGAGACACCTGTGACGTAACGTGATTTGGCGCCAAGGATACAACACCCAGGCAAGATACTTTTATATTTATTGTAAGGAGAGTGCCAAGCGTTCATTTTTTCATTATATATTTAGGTGATCCGTCACACCTACTTGAGCACCCCTATATTGTTCTAGTGTCCCCGTCCTGCTCCGGCTTTAGGTCTCCCCCGCCGGATGATGTCGGCAAGGGAGGAGTGTGGGCGGACCCTATACCAGCGCCGAGGGACATCGGGGCTGGTCTCAGATAAGTCACTGAAGTGGTTCTAACCCCTTCAGCAACATGGGGTAGGAAGGAGAGGGTACCTGCAGTGCCAGGAAAACTATTTGTTTTCCTGGCACTGGAGTGTCCCTTTAAATCTAAACTTATTTTGGATCCTGGATTCAAATTTAATACACTCTTAACCCTAGGTCATATCAAATACTGATAAGCTAATTTAGGGGCCTTCCCTTTCCGTATAAAAGATGTAGCAAATGACAGGCTTGTAAAGAAGAAACAAGGGATCTTGGGTTTGGAATAAATATCAAACTAAAGGTAGAATATTCATAAAAATCGTGTCAACTCTGCCAAACCAAGAGTCAAGATGAAAGTCAACTGATGTTGCAGGAGCTTGGGCTGTCCTCGCTGGTCACCGAGCCACATAATTCTCCACTTCCAACTACCACAACAATATGGAATCCTGTGAGCGTTTGCCAGTTCGTAACAGCGGCTCACTGAAAAGATCAGTATCTTGACTGAGTTCTGATCTAATTTACTGTTTCTTAACTTAATTATGGTTTTATGTTGTAACTCTTGCGTTATTGTATTTTATATCTTTAGCTTTGATATATGAGGCCCTAGGGCTACTCTTTTAAGCTCACACTTCCCATGACCTGCCTTGTTATCTCACAGGCACATTTCCCCCACCCCCTCCTCGCAATACTCCTCTGATTGTACATTCTTATAAGTTTACCAGAGGAGCTAAAGCCTTTTATAGCTTCGACATTACTGTATTTTTTTTTCCGCCTAACCTGCCACAATGTTGTATTCCCAGCCACTACACGTCAAGTATCTCCTGTCACACCTAGTGGACATGTGGAACATATTAGTTCACTAGTCGTTCACCGTTTTAAATAACTTTTTATTTTGAGCTACATTGGATGATTATATACCATGATATGTTGATTTTTTTTTAATTTTATTTTTACCTATTTTTCTCCATTTCTATGGTATGTGTACTATATGTGGATTGTGAATAAAGAATGATTTACAAAAAATGGCAGCATAAAGATCTTTTAAATCAGGCGTGATTGAGATTCCTAAATATTTTAATGCACATATTTTCAAGTGCAAATAGTTTCATATTTGTTTTAGCACAGCCTCAGGGGTGTTAATTTTAAGGATCTCGCTTTTAGTGACATTCATCTTAAAATGTGAACATTTGATAAATTCATCAAATTTGTTAACGAAACAGCCTAATGATACCACTATATTAGAAATAAATGAGGGGGGCCTGATTCTTAAGATGGTCAGACGTGTCTGCTAACAACACTGGTAACCTAGACCTAGAGTCAACAAACCATTCCAAAGCGCAGAACTTACCCTGGAAGCTGAATGGAACCCACTGCAGTCTGATCAACAACCAGAGAATCCTCTGCTTGCACCAATCTGGCACAGAACTCCACAATCCGTACTTGCAGCCTGCAAAGTCTGCCTGTTTGTTGGGCCGGGGGGGCAAGCTATAGCCCCTCACAAAATCTGATCTCCATGTCCCATCTCACCTTTAACCATGAGGTGAACCCAAGATGGCCTCCGCAAAACAGCATCTCCTAAGTCAAGCGTGTGCGAGAGGCCAGACTTGGAGGGAAGCTTTCGAGGCAAGATTCGAGCAGATATGCCAGAACACCTGTACCTATCTCACCTACTCCAAATGATTTGCCAGCTCGATGTCCCTCTTCTTTGCTGGGAGCCCACATGATGCTTTGCCCAGGCCACTACCGTCCACAAACTCGAAAGGCAGAGATGTCTGCAGGCACTTTATTCTTTTGCTGGGACAGGGGGAGACCCTGGTAATCATTCCTCATGAGGGCTGAGATGGATGTGGCAAGAGGGACTGGCATATGGGACTGTTCCTGATGCGAACACCTCACACTAGCTCTCTCTGTACCGATAGATCTAAAAAATGTCCATACTTGGAAGTAATGAGGACAAGTGGTGTTGTGGACTACCACATTACCTGCATTATGGCATCCAGCAGAACCGAATTCATCTGGCAGACAGTGGGGCTAGCAGCAGTTCTGGCATGGAGCTGGGCCTTCAGCTATGGCCTCTTTGTGTCACGGGGTGATCCAATCCACTTGCATCCCAGTACAATACATCCTAGCAAAACCTCTGAACTGCTCACTGAGAACATTTGTTCCCTTTTGAGAAAGATGCAAACCATATTTTTTTTTTGTAGTTTATTTCCATTCCAAACAGAGCTACCATGAGAAATAAAGCCAAATCCTTGCTCCCAATCACAAAACTGTGACTAATGTTATTTTTCAATTTTTTTGTGTTTTATCATAAATGAGAATTTATAAATGTATATGTCACATCATATTGAAGTCCCTTTTCTCCTTTAAAAAAAAAATGGTATATAACGTGTTGGTACACCAAAGAAAAGAACAAGTAACAAATGGCGCTCAATACACATCTAAAATCGTGAGAAAAACCTTGGAAGCAGCTCCCTTATAAAGTGCAGTAGCTCATAAAACACTGAAAATACAATAATACAGAAAAAAGGGTGTGCTGTGTCTTTTAGACAAAAAATGTGCGATATTCCTTTAAGAACACTCTGGTGCTTATATCAATACACAACTTATATTTTATAAGTGTGTCAATATTACATAAACTGATGTAAGTGCAAAAGTGCAAATGCCACTGATATACCAGTGCTATAGTGAAAAAAATATAGAATAAATAAAATGAACGGAGCACTTACAATACCCAGCTGTATATACCTTGGATCTGGTTGCTCCAAGATTCAAGAAATTAAAGAATCTCTGTATATACTGTTAGAGAAGGGTAAAGAAACAGGAGTCCTTAACGAGAAAGAGTATAATTTCTTGAAAGTTGAACATCCAAGACTACCTATTTTTTATACATTACCAAAGGTGCACAAAGATATTAAAAGCCCCCCAGGGAGGCAGATTGTTTCGGGGATAGGGTCAATATCGGCAAATTTGTCTAAATATGTCGATATATGGCTCCAAGATCTAGTGAAGATAATTTCATCCTATTTGAAGGATACTACAGAAGTGATAAAAATCCTAAAGAAAATAAAGTGGGAGGACTCTTTTATACTAGTTACTAGTGATGTATCCTCCTTATATACTTCAATCACTCATGATTTAGGGTGTAGAGAGATCAAAAAGATTCTAGAGGAATCTGGGAAGTTTAGTCATTCCCATGTAGAATTTTTAATAGACAGTATACGTTGGATTTTAAATAACAATTATTTATTTTTTAATTCCCAATTTTATCTCCAATGTCAAGGCACCGCTATGGGGACTAGGTTCGCCCCCAGTTATGCTAATTTATTTATGTCAAGCTGGGAAAATATTCATATTTAAAACAGCCAAGAATGGGGGGCGGACCTAGTCTCATATTATAGGTACATTGACGATATGTTTTTTATATGGAGAGGTACGGAGTCATGCTTAGAGAATTTTTTTAATAAATTGAATGAAAATGACTGGGGGATTCATCTTACCAGTTCCTATAGTAAAAACAATATCAGCTTTCTAGATTTGGATATTTATGTGGAAGGAGGGAACATAAAAACTAGAAACTATTTAAAAAAGTGGATGCAAATAGTTATGTGTTGTACATCAGTGGTCATTATACCCCTTGGTTGGATAACATCCCAAAAGGACAATTACAACGATTGAGAAGAAACTGTACAGAATTAGATGTCTTTAACCCCTTAAGGACACATGACATGTGTGACATGTCATGATTCCCTTTTATTCCAGAAGTTTGGTCCTTAAGGGGTTAAAGACCAAGCAAGTATCCTTATGGATAAATTTACGGAGAAAAAATATCCGAAAAATATACTTGATAGAGCATATGAGGAAGTAATTATACTTGATCAGGAAGATTTAATTGTGGGACAAAAGAATAGATTAACTGAAGAAAAAGATAAAAAGATGCCCTTAGTATTCGATTTCAATAGTGATTCCAGAAAAATTAGATCTATAATTAATAAACATTGGCCCTTACTGAAGAAAGATAAAGAATTGGAAAAATTTTTACCAGAAAGACCTTTTATTACCTTTAGAGGTGCACCAAATTTTAAAAGACTTCTTAATTTTAATCACCCTAGAAAAGAAGCTGGAACGATGTTTTTAAGTAATAAGAGTGGTTTTTATTCATGTGGAAAGTGTATAGGCTGTAAATGCAGTAAAAATAAAACTTTAAAAGGAATAAGCAAATTTAAAGCAAGACAAAGGGATGAGGAATTTGTTATAAAAGATTTTATCACTTGCTGTAGTAAAAATGTAGTTTATTTGCTGATTTGCCCATGTGGGTTACAATACGTGGGTCGTACAATACGTCCCCTTCATAAATGTATTTATGAACATGTGTATAATATAAAACCGAGCTTTGAGCAACATAGCGTTTCAGCCCATTTTAATAAATACCACAAAAGGGATCCTAATGGGTTAATTTTTCTAGGAATCCAAATAGTTAATAAATCTTGGAGAGGAGGAGATCATATAAATGCAATAGGTAGGGAAGAAATGAAATGGGTACATCGTTTGGGAACCTTAGAGCCGAGAGGTTTAAATATAGAATTCGATTTGTACAATTTTTTATAATATATATTGATTTTTTAAAATAAATACATTTTTAAATTTTTTCAAATTTTAGTTTTTTTTCAGTTTTAGGACAATAATTATTTTAGATATATTTTCTTAATCTTGAATCCTAAATTAATAGGATCTTGTTTATATTATATTTGATAATAAATTTTGAGCAGATATGTGTATAACAAATGTGATTTGTAAAAAATATGAGTGCTTTTATATATGCAATAGAAAATGTTGTTTAGGTGATATGACCCTGGAAATGAATACTCAAGTGAAGAGTCTCGTATGAGTATCTTTTTTTGTCTTAAAGACACAGCGCACCTTTTTTCTGTATTATTAGATAACGTGTTGGTGCAATAAATGAGAAAATTGCTACCTGCAGTTGAACACAAACAGCAAAAAAATGCATCAATTGCTTGTGTCCCTAAGTAGAAGAAAGGCTTTCGGAATCTGTGTCCTTAAGGGCTTAATTAGCTTCTTTTTTTAATTTTATTTTTTATTACTCTTTATTAAAGTTTGGTCAACAACAGATAAATATGCCTTTGAATTAGACATATAAAACATAAACGGAAGCAAGGGAGAGACGGAAATAAAAAAAAGATGATAGCGAACTAACCCATCTTACATCTTTTTCCATATTGAGATGTTATATTATTTGGTTCTTTAGAGTTCACGTCATTGGATTGGTGTTACTCCAGTGTCTGGATATCAACATCTTTATAGCTACAAAGAAGTGTATAATTATCAGGGATTCTGATTTAGAGACATTATACCAGTTTAAATGCAATTAAGCAGTTTTGGGTTTTTAGCCAAAACTCAGTTTAGTGAGTAATTTCATTTAATCAAAAAACTAATGACCATACAGTTTTAATTAGTTCACAGTCCAGCCAAATGTGAATGTGAGAGCCTACCTTAGAACAACATCTCCAGCACCTATTAGAGTAGAGAGGGATACATGGCAACAAGTTTGGATGGAGCCAAATATCACCTATCAATCATGTAATTGTTTAAATTGAACTTCGATAATGTTCAGGCATTGTATCAGGCTGTTGGATAATTTAATAGATTTCAGACAATCCTCTTGTTTGATAGAAAAATTCAAGTCTAATGCCCATCGTTCTATGGCTGAAATTTGTATATCTTGGTTTTCAGATGCGAGCAATATGGAACACTTCTCAAGAATTTTATGGGAGGAATTTATACTAAACGTCTTCTCCCATTTTTTTATTTTTATTTTATCATGGTTGCTTACACACAAATGAGTATCCCAAAAACCTTTAATTCTGATGTAA